GTAGTGGCACAACATTTAGTAAAAGTGGTTGGAGTAATTTAGTCAAACAAATGAATGTTCAAACGGGGAGAAAATTTGGTTTAACCCAACTTCGGAATAAGTTTAATGGTTTAAGGAAAATTTACACTGAGTTTAAGAAATTATTATCAGAGACTGGCGTGGGATATAACCATGAGACGGGCATGGTTATAGTTGAGGAAGAGAGATGGGACAGGTTGTGCAAGGTTAGTAATTTAATTATTAGTCATAAATAAATAATAAAATCTTGTATATTATTGGTTATGTGGTTAATATTGTAACAAAATTTGTAGGTTGTTACGAATGCAAATAAGTATAAAAAGTATGGATGTAAGCATCTTGACAAGATGTCGACTATATTTGGGGACACATATGCAAGAGGGATGCATGCCCACCCATCCACTACAGCACCACCCACAATCATTTTGCCCACTCCCAATGATGACGATGATGAGGAAGAGGGTTGTGAGGTCAGTCCCCCACCTTTACGTAAAGGTAAAGCCAAAAGAGATGCTTTATCTCCTGGTATAGCTGCACTCTTGTCAAACATGAATGAGAATTCTGAGAGGAGAGCTGAGAGAATGGAAGCTGCAATAGAGAAAGCAGCTAAAGCATCTTCTACTTCTACTCGTGTATCTTCATGTGAGAAAGGAGATGATGAAGTTCTATCTCCCTCAAAAAAGGATAGAGATTATGAAATGTTTGACGCCTCCATGCTCCTTTTACAAAAAATACCTGAAATTGAGATGGCCCAATTCGCTAAGGTATCGAAGTTATTACATGATTCTGAGAAGTGGCAGAAATTTTTTCTTTCGGCACCTGAGGATGTAAGAATTGGTTGGGCACTGAATGTTTGAGTTTTTCTTTATGGATGATTGTGTTTTGTGTCATCATTTAACTTATTACTATCTCACATTTGGATGACCGTAATAACTTAAATACTTTTATTATCTTACATTTGGATGACTGTAATAACTTAAATATTTTTATTATCTCACATCTGGATAACTGTAATAACTTAAATACTTTTATTATCTCACATTTGGATTACTGTAATAACTTAAATATTTTTATTATCTCACATTTGGATTGCTGTAATAACTTAAATACTTTTATTATCTCACATTTGGATGGCTATAATAACTTAAATACTTTTATTTCTTGGATGCCTGTTAGTACTCAAATACTTTAATACCATTATTTAAATGTTTGTTTTATTATTTAAATGTTTTGTTTATTATTTAATTGATTTGCTTATTAACTTAAATGCTTTGCTTGTATTAAATCTTTAAATAGGGCAATGGATGTGTGGAACAATATAAGAAGAATAATTCAATTATCTGACGATGAGGAGGATAATGAGAGTGTCTTAATATTTGCTGCTCTTTTAGAAGAGCAGAACTTCTATCAAAAGAGGCGTTGTAGGGATTCCATTTTACAAGGGGAAACATATGTTATGGAGATTTTAAACGGCCATAGAGAAAGATGTTATGAAAATTTTAGGATGTGCCCTGAAGTTTTTAGAATATTGTGTAGTACCCTGAAAGGTATAGGGCTGAAGGATTCTAAATTTTTAACTATTTATGAACAAGTGGCAATCTTTTTGCTCACTTTATCTCATAATCAAAGGAATCGTGTTGTAGCAGAGAGATTTCAACACTCCACTGAAACCATTTCTAGACACTTCCATGCTGTGTTGCATGCAGTATGTCAGTTGGGCACCCATATCATTACCCCTCCTAATTTTTCTATGATTCCGAATAAGATTAGAGAGTCTTCTAGGTTTAACCCTTACTTCAGGCATTGTGTGGGAGCTATAGATGGAACCCACATTCCTACAACTCTGCCAGCAAGTACACAACTTCCATTTCGTGGTAGAAAGGGTTATACCACACAAAATGTAATGGCTGTATGTGACTTTGACATGAGGTTCACATATGTGCTAGCTGGGTGGGAAGGCTCAGCTAATGATTTGAGAATCCTAAATGAGTGTACTGAAAATGAGGCAATGAACTTTCCAGCTCCACCAGCAGGTAATATTTTTTTATAAATTCACTTAATATATGGTTAGTTTATCATACTGTATATATCTTTATGTATTCTAAACATGGCAGGTAAGTATTATTTGGTGGACTCAGGGTATGCCAATAAGCTTGGTTATTTGGCCCCATTTCGAGGTCATACTTACCACTTTCAGGAATACCGTAGGACTAGACAACCTCGTGGTCGGGAGGAAGTGTTCAATCATAGGCATTCATCTTTGAGAAATATAATTGAGCGATGCTTTGGGTTATTGAAGATGAGATTTGCTATTTTGAGGGCAATGCCTCCTTATAAGTTTTCAACAAAAGTATTGATTGTAATGGCTTGTTGCACATTACATAATTTTATCAAAAATCAGCATCAGCCTGATGACATATTTGATGGTAATGATCCTCCTCAAAGTGATGGTGAAGATGATGAGATTATTGAGCATGTGCCTTCGGCTCAGCTTCGAGAAATGGATCAATTGCGTAATACTATTGCTGATCAGATTTGGAATTCCAGCACTCTTGATCCTTCTGAAGGTGATGGTATATTTTTTCTTTTATATGTAATATATTTGTTGCTATTGTGAGCTTGCAATATATATATGTAATATAAATATTTTTTGCAGATATATAATTCAACTTAAATGTTATTATTGCAGATATGAAGTGTGTTGATGCTCTCTTGAAGGCCACATGTGCTGTTATGAAGATGATGTGTCGTTGCCATTGTTATCCACTTTATGAACTTCTTATTAATTTTTAGTGACAACTACATATTGTTAATGCTTTGTTCCAAACATTTTATGTACAACTTAAACGTGTTTAATTTGTTGGTTGAATATTTCAGGACTTGTAAATGTTATACACTCTATTTCAATTATGCTTTCAATTGAGTTTGTTTTTATTTTAATGTTGTGTTGGACTATACAGGTATCAGGATAATAAAATTGAAGCAGGTTATTACAAAGAACTTGTAAATAGGTTATTGCAAATTTTTTTTACAAATGTTGACTCTCATGTAGTATAATAAAATGTGACTAGAGATTATTTATTTTTAATATTGAGTTGGACTATACAGGTATAATGATAATAAAATTGAAGTAGGTTATTGCAAAGAACTTATAAATAGGTTATTGCAAATTTTTTTACAAATGTTGACTCTCATGTAGTATAGTAAAATGTGACTAGAGATTATTTATTTTTAATATTGAATTGGACTATATAGGTATAATGATAATAAATTTGAAGTAGGTTATTGCAAATAACTTGTAAATAGGTTATTGCAAAAATTAATATATATATAATTTGGTGGGGGTTTACATTTTTTTACAAAAGAGAAGGCAAGAATCTGTATTTTGGAGTTAAATTCCCACCAGTGTAGACTTACAAGAGTCGAAAATTATTATCAGAGCTGTGTAGTATTTTTTTTTTCTTCTTTTGCTAATGCGAAAAATGAGCAAAATGAATGAAATACAAACCTATGGACAATCATCATCAAAGGAACATACTATACCAAAAAATTTCAAATAACTTGAAGTGTAGTTTCAGATCAAGATAACATGCAAAATGGTTGAAATTATTGGTTCAATTATTAGAACTAACATTCTACATTTTCGCTAAAGCAGTTGCTTCTGTAATTACACTTTGGTTATATATATATATATATATATATATATATATATATATATATATATATATATATATATATATATGTTTGTGTGTTCAAATTTTAATAAATTTATTAAAAATATATAGACTATTTATATAGAAATAAATTTATAAATAAATTTAAAATTTATAAAAATAAATTAAAAATAATGATAACCAAACATATTTTTTATTTCTGTTTGATTTTGTTTACAACAGTTGGAGTTACCAAACATATTTTGTTTTTAAAATTCTTGAAACGCATGACTTACCAAACGTGTTTTGCATATTTTTGTTTCCGACATTTCTACAGCAAAACATCGTTCCCAAACGTGCTTCCTATTTTTGCCAAAACACTCTAATAGTAAAAACGCTATTTCTGTTTTAGCCAAAAACAAAACGCCTAAAATAAAACGCATGCCAAACGGGCCTTTATGCTTTTTTCAGTCTGCCTTTCTTTTGAGTGATTAATATGTGAATGAACAAAATAGCTTTGGTTCATCAGTCTATGAGTAATTATGAGAAAAATTAGAAGGCTGTGCTTTATATAAAAGATTAATTTCGATTCTGAGGTGGTTTTTTCCTGGTGATTTGTTGCGAAATTAATAGATTGAATTAGAATATTGGGTGCAAGTGTCGGGTTGTTCAAGTGATTGGGTTTGAGAGCTTGTGTTCGAGACTTGCATTCTTCCCTTCCCTCTAACAACTAGGAAGAAATCATATGCCCCAATGATTGGGTTTGTTTTTTCCTAATTAGTTCTCACACACACTTGTCTCTTTTAATACTTGAACTCCTGACCTCCCTTTGGGAGGTAAGATACTAATACCGCTAGGCCACTGCCCGTTGGTTGCCCTAATGATTGGGTTAGACAATTGTGTACTTGCAGTTGGGTGCATTCATTAGGGTCTTTTAGTTGTTTGGACCCATTTGTTATGGTGTCTTATGCATGGTACGCAGTATCGGTTACGGTCGCAATATAACGGATTCGGACAAAGTCGGTGTAAATTGGCTGATATAATTCGCGGACTCGGACAAAATCGGTATAAAGTGACCGATATAAGTAGCATTTCAGATTTGAAAAAGGGTTAAACTTGAAAAAAGATCGCATATCAACCAATACGACGAAAACTCTTATGAGGCTTCCAAATTTCACTATTTCCTACAGTTATGCTGTAAGATTAATTTCACCTTCTGAGGAGGTCAATTCTTAATTCTTTCATTTGGAAGATTAGCTTTTGGAATGAATTGAGAAACCATTTACAAATATCTTGAAATTTCGCCTCATAATCAGCAAACATCCAAAATTCTAGAATTAAAAAGAGTTCCCATTCATGACTGATATCCATCAAATATATGCTAATTTATGGAGTTTCAATTTATGAAGTACAATGAACTTACAAATATTGCACTATTAACCAAACTGTATAATTTACATTTTCAAAATTATTATAAGCCAAAATAAATTTTACGTAGATCATAGCATTTTTGCAATCTCTACTCAGGTAGATCAAGTAAGCACGTTGGAAGCGTCGTGAATCAAGTACTTTCCATTCCTCTTTAATCACCTCACTGGAACAGATCTGGAGATCGTAAAAATATTGAGGTAAGCTTACACAACTCAAGTAGTTAAACACAACTCTATTCTAAAATATCTAACCTAAAACACATGACAAATTAATAAATTATCCAAGTTTGCATATAAATTAAGAATAATTAACATGCAAGCGCTAGGAAAATAAATAAATAAAATATCATTATTACAAGAACTGTAATTTAAAAGAAAACCTTCCATACTTTACTCTTCAATCCATCATAGATGATAGTTTCAATGTTTAAAAATTAAAAAATTGATGAGCTCATGATACAGTTCAAAAGTGTGTTAATATTATCCAATGATTCATGTTAGAATTTAATAGAAATAAATCAAAATACAAAGTTGCTAACTCAGAGATACTTACCTTGTTTACCATACAAAACTTCCACAAAATAGAACAAACCATTGATAATAGAAATGTAAAATGAAAGTACATTACCAAACCTTCAAGTCCCTAACCAATGTCTTTTATTTGATATTAACATTCCAATATCAAAATATGTGTAACTCTCATCCCAAAGGGAAGTATCCCCTATTGACACAACCTTTTAGGGACTCTAACCCATATACAGTATCAGAGAAAGTCTATAATATCCCGGAGGTATGTCGTCACATGGAATTCCACTCAATCAATGCTCTCTGTTTATCTCGATCAATGAAAATATGGAGTATTCATTGAAAAGCGTACCATGTGGGAATATACCTCCGGGGGTATTGTAGACTTTCTCGTAGTACTGAGAACCTTTTAACGTATCAATATTTTTAGGGACTCTCACCTTGGGGCGGTATTTATTAACACATAAACCATTTAGGGCTCGCGGGGCGTACACCCTATTAAGGCATACACCTTTGAAGGACTCTCACCCGGGGGCATACTCCCCATAAACGTACAAAGATTCAACTCAACATTACAACTTGTCTAACTAGAACATCACCAGTTGCTCAAGCCACATGTTTCTGTTTTCATTACTTTCACATGTGAATTCATACCTACTCTAATCTCAAGTAGTTAGTCACAATTATACTCCTCAATAAATATGTGTCACAAATTTCTCGTCACAATAATAATCCATAACAGTATATTCAGCTAATACAATTAATTTATATTCATAAACATATATTATCAGAAGCCCAAATTGTTATAGACATATGTATCATAATTCAAATTTTCATAAATTCAAGAAACATATCAATCATGTACCAAACAAATAATATATCAAAATTTCTCAAACTCTATAATAATTCCACAAATAAACATATAACCATATATCAATCAATAAATAATATTTATGCATGAACAATTTTAAATGACCATTTTTCATAACAAACAAAGTAAAAAAACTAAAAATAAAAAATCCAAAAATAGATTGAAGAATATTGAAATTGCCCGGCCTCCATGTCGCCCTGCTATCATGCCCTGGATTTCAAAACCCGATTTGTGATATAAGAGAAAAGAAATTAAAATCTAAAATTGTGAAAAAATATCCTTAAACTTGAACCACTTTTCTTACTGTATTCCATTATTATCATAATTTATTTTCCTTTACTTTATTTTAAAAGAAGAAGAAAAAAAACACTATTTGGTGTAACTTCATAAATTGTTCAGAAGTACATGGGTAATATGTATTTCAAGTAACTGATAATGGAAAAGCAAATTTTTTTGTAAAGAAAAAAAAATCAATTCAGGCATAGTATCGAGGCTAAAGAACCTATTATTGAGGCTGAAGATCCTATTACAGAAAATGAGAAGAATGTGGATGCGGATAGACAATTGGGACAAATGAGCAAGCTCATATCTCCCCTTCGAAAGGAAGATTATTGAAATGAACTTACTAAATAAATGCTTACAGAAGCTTTAGGCCATGGACAAAAATTGAAGCAAAAGCATCCATTGTGATCTTTGGGTAGCACACACCGAACTCCACATCTCCCTGAGAATCCCTGCACTCACTCATCGAGAAAAACCCTGTACGGTCTATGGAAACAATTTCGTTCTTCTGGGGCCTTCCCCACCCAAAATCTGGTTCGTAATGTCTCAGCTTGGGCGACCCTGCTATGGACCTCACTCGATCCATTTTCAAACTTCCAATTTGGGAAAGCCAAGTCTCTAAACCTTTCAACACTCCATCTGGCTCACCATTATGAACCTTTGTGGCAATGGCCTCTCCAATCGACTTTGCTGCCACAAAAAAGCCTTCTTCTTCTTCCATTAGTTGGCTATGTCTTGCGGTTGCAAAACAAAATGTGATGCAATTACCAAAGTAAGTTGCCAGTATGGGTGGATCCAAACGTTCTCGACAATCCATTGGGAAAACAAAATGCTCTAATTCATCATCATCAACATCTTTGTCGTTCAATTTAGTGCTTGCTCGGGACTTCAGACTGCAAACCCACATGTAGGCACATGTCACTGTGAATGTTGATACATGTAATGGTATCGTGGGACGGGCCATAACCAATTCTTTGAGTCGTTGAACATCAGTTCGAGCTATGACAAACATGGCTCGAACATTGTTGTTGCTAGTTTGATGACGCAGGTCTTCATGTTTAATCTCATGCCCACAAACTTGGCTCAAAAAAGTCTTTTCTACCCCAATTCGATCCCTTATCATAGTCCTGTCACAAAATGGGAGATATCCACCAGCCAACAATTCCGCATCACTGCCAAATTTAGTAATGGAAGCCCATGCCTTCATGAAACCTTGAAAGGCCTTACCATCGGCAAGAACATGGTGGTAGTTGAAGCCGAAACAAATGCCTGCAGACTCTGGAAAAAGCGTGACCTGAAGAGCTGCAAGTGGAACTACTACTTTGTTGGTATACACCTCTTGCATAAGCTTAGGGACAAGTGGAGAAAATTGATCAGCATTTCGGGGTTGATTTCCGGTAAGGTAATTGTAATCGTTACTAGACTCGGCAAAGGTTAGTGAAACAGAGTCACCATCAACGTAACGAATTTCGGGCTTGCTAGGATTTGATGATGATGATGAGGGAAGTATGAGATTAGAAGCAAGAGGGAAAAAGTGTTTGAGAGTGAGAGAGAGTGTGTGTTTGAGAAGAGGAATAAGGGAGTCTGTGAAATGGGACTTGGAGTGATGGAAATCATAGAAGAGAAGCTTTTGGACAGGAGGGATTGGTATCCACATAAGGTCGAAAAAAGTGAGGGGGAGAAACTGATTGGCCACCGCACCTGGAGGCGGCGAAACCCGGCTATGCTGGATCACGTTGATCATTGTGTTTACGGGAGCAATGTGTTGCACAATATTGGTAGAAAGCAGGGTTACATATATGATGGTTTTTTTTTTTTTTTTTTTTTTTTTTTTTTGCCCTATATATTATAGATTTTCATTGCATCTCATCTTAAATAGTTATAATAAAGGGAGCAATGTGTAGCACAATATTGATAGAAAGCAGAGTTATATATATATATATATGATGGATGTTCGTTGCATCTTAAATAGATGTAAATTTGTAATAAAGGGAACAATGTGTTGCCTTGCAAATTGTTAGAAAAGAAAAAAACAAAAGAGAGGACAATACTGTGGGTCTGCTCTGTGAGGACCAATTTCATTGTCATAGGGGATGTGCCCCACACATGTGACCCATTTCCATTTCCATCTGAATCTCCCATACACGTGTGTGTGTGAATGTACCAGCAACAAACGCCCTAAATTTTGATCAAACAACAAAAACAAACATAAATACACAGAAACCCTAGAATGAACTCTACATAGATAATTAAGAGTTGGTTATCACCATCGCCCATACACATATATACATACATATATATATATAACACACCTGGTGTATGATGGGGGAAATCCAAGAGCCATCGTCTCAGTCTCGATCAAACTGCATAGATAGGTTGATACCGTTGAATCATCGCATGCCGAGAAAGGGAGAGTTGTTGAATCGGTTCTCTCTCTTAATTATCTATGTAGAGTTCATTCTAGGGTTTCTGTATATTTATGTTTGTTTTTGGTGCTTGATCAAAATTTTGGGCGTTTGTTGGTGGTGGTCATTCACACACTAATTGGAAGATGGGAGACTTCAGTGCATGGACATAGACTATAGTTTCGGATTAGAGGTTAGGTAGGAGAGGTATGGAGGGTTTACTGGACATTTCACAGAGAGAGGGAGAGAGAAGACTCATAATAGGGTGAGAGTCGATTCGCTGTGATGGGTTCTTTAGAAATGAGTTTGAATACCCGACTCTTGAATGTTCCTCAATTATTAACACTATTAATTAAATATAGATTCTCATATTAAAAAAATGACTATATAAAAATATATTAATAAATTACAAGGGACGGTTTTTATTAAAGATTAATTAAATATAGACTTTCGGATTAAAAAAATAATCATATAAAAATATATTAATAAATTACAACGGACGGTTTTTATTAAATTAGTCTACTAAGTGTCAAATAAACCAAAATTATTTAATAATTTCTCGTAAGTGAGTACGGACGATTTTTATTAAATTAGTCTACTAAGTATCAAATAAACCAAAATTATTTAATAATTTCTCGAAAGTGAATACATATGGTGTTGTTGATTGGACTTAAAATTGTAAATGCAGTAGATATGGTGTTGACGCAACTCTCTACAAATATTACTTTAATATATTATCATCAATTATCTGACCTATTTGTTAGCCTAAAAATTTTTATCCCTTTAATTTAGTAAATGAAATTCATATTTGCGTTTATTCACAATATCTTATGGATAAAAACCTATTCCGTTAGATAAATAGGTTAGAGTCTTGTCTTAATCCAAATGAAAAATATAATAGGTATAAATAAGTTAGGCGTTAATCCAGCAACTGATCCATTACAATTGGTATCAGAATCAAACTCAGTCCTTAATTCGGCGCTCGGTCCGAAAGCGACTGGGCGGCCAAACCAAGTAGGCCAAGTGGCCTGACAATCCAGCGCTCGGCCTAGAGGCACTTGGGTGGCCAAACCGGGTAGGCCAAGTGGCCTGACCACAGGTAGGGCGTTGCGAGTTCGGGTTGAATCGCGAAGCACCTGACTCGACCCGTTACAATAGGGCATCTCCTCAACCTCTTCACTTTTACAACAATGAGCCACCATTTTGGATCTTTCACTCTTCACTTTCACCACATTTGCATAATATAGGTGAAAATTTTGACGTGGACCTCATAAAGTGGAGATGCGTACCAACCAATCTTGCTTTTCAAATAGAGAAATGATATCCATTTGTCCATGGCCCCATGCACTCCATATGTGCTAATTCAACCAATATGAAGAGAGATAAATAGAAAGTTGGGGCCACGTGTGTGGTCGCTGGCTTTTATGTTTGTTCAGCAAGTCCCACACCATACAGTTGCGACTAGCTACAATGGCTATCGCAGCCTAACGAGCTGCTTACATGTTGCTCTTTGACCGAGAGTTTAAGTGTAAAGTAATGTAATGGTGGATCCTATACCTAACTCTCATTTAAGATACGGAGATCCTATACCTAACTCTCATTTAAGATACGGAGATCCTACACGTAACTTTCTTATATTTTTTTTTAAAAAAATTCATGCTAACCAAATGAATTTTAAAAAATTTATTTTTATTTCCTACACCTAACTTTCTTACATTTTTCTTTAAAAAAATTCATGCTAACCAAATGAATTTTAAAAAATTTATTTTTATTTCCTTCATTTTACTTTCAATTTCCATCTTGGGACCAATAAAGATTTGTTAGAATGAGTTGTTAAACAGGGAAGAGAGAGAGACTGGGTGACAATGTTGTTGAATTTGAAACCAAAAGATAAAAAGAGGTTATAAGAGGGGTTCAATATTGAATGTGATAATGCAAATGCATTTAGAAAGAAATTCTGGGAATCAAATTTGATTTTTCAAATTTTAAAAGGGAGACAGACCTATCAACACTTCGAATCTACTTACCAAACAAAAAAAAAAACACACTTCGAAACCATTCAACTTTATATAACTTCGCGATATGAATAACATTTGCATAATTCCCAACAATATCTTGTACTAATCTATGAAAAGAATTAAAAAGAACACTCCAAAGACGAATACCAAAAAATTTCACACCAATCTCTAGTTGTAATTTTCTAAGTCCGAGCTCTAAAGCCCAGTGTTGGTCGACTCGGTACTGAATAAAAAATTACAACTCTGACAACTAACAACCAAAAAAAAAAAAAAAGGACTAAAAAATGTTATAAAGGCATGTAACAATCTTTAGGAGTTTCCAAGTGGACTAGTGGAGCAAAGAAATGTGAAAAAACAATATATTATCCTTCCTTAGGATGGTTCCCTGTAAACTGACATTGAAACCAAATGCTAGTACAATATTTATTGTATTTTTCTGATAAGTGTACAATAAATATAAACAGAAATGACCCAAAAATGGGACCAAAAAAGAGAGAATAAACATTACACCTCTCCCCAAAAATGTCCTGACAGAAACATTGAAAGATAAAAGCCAACAAGGTTACTATCTAAGTTTCACTTCCAGCCACTCATCACCAATGATGGTTTGGCTCCTCAGACCTACTTATAAAAATACATAACTTATAGTCCAAACTTACAATTCCAAGCTTCTCTATAAAAATATCACAAGCTTCAAAACTCAACCAAAGTGACCACATACGATGTGGCGAAGAAGACAATTTACCACAATTCTCCTCTTTGCCCAACTTAAAAGCATTTCCGGTGGACAATAGCTGGACCAGATTCATCGTATTCACCCTTGGATATCCACATCTGCAACAATTAAAGAGCATAAGCGAGGCAGCTAACTACATTACAAACTAGCAATCGTTTCATCATTATCATGTAAAATTCTAATTTCCTTTTCATATTTTGGTGGAAATCAAAAGAGAGAGAATGACCAAGAAGTTACCTGTTGGAAGGTGCTGAGAGATGCTAATATTGATCCACCGATCCAGACACTATACTTTCTCTCGGGAGGTGCAACCACCTTGATCTTCATGCTGCTAGGAGCAAGGGCAGTGATTTCCTTGCTCATCCGGTCAGCAATTCCAGGGAACATGGTTGATCCCCCACTAAGCACAATGTTACCATAGAGATCCTTTCGGATATCGACATCACACTTCATGATGGAGTTGTAGGTGGTTTCATGGATTCCAGCAGTTTCCATTCCAATGAGTGATGGCTGGAAGAGGACTTCAGGGCAGCGGAATCTCTCTGCTCCAATGGTTATCACCTGCCCATCAGGCAATTCATAGCTTTTCTCTACCGCAGAGCTGCTCTTGGCAGTCTCCATCTCCTGCTCATAATCTAGGGCAACATAAGCAAGTTTCTCCTTCATATCACGGACAATTTCCCGTTCAGCAGTTGTGGTGAATGAATACCCTCTCTCAGTGAGAATCTTCATCAAGGCATCTGTTAGATCACGACCAGCAAGGTCCAGTCGGAGGATTGCATGGGGGAGAGCATAACCTTCATAAATTGGCACTGTGTGGCTGACACCGTCACCAGAATCCATAACAATACCTTTTCAAAATCCCAAATGTCCAGTTAATAAGCAAGTCAAAAATTGGAAGGAAAAAAAAAAAAATTCAAACATCAATTATGAAATCTTTTTATGAAAATATTTCCGATGTATGCAAGTGATTACAAAGCATCAGGTATATTTCTTAACTAATTAAATCAATTGTATCTCAGCCTCTCAGGAACAAAGTCCTTGCAAGGCAAGAGGCAGCAGCAGGTGTTCTCAGTAGTTCCCGAAGTATTTCAATACTGCGTAGGGACATCATTGGATAACATTTATCTCCCTACATTTCAAAATGCTTCTGGACCCACCCCTCAACTCAAGCTCGTTTTCCATCAAGATATTTTTCAATTAATTGTCTCAATTTAATCCAATGAGATGGCCCATATAGTAAAAAGCAGTCAAAATAGAAAGATCTTGATAGTTCACCCCAGGTGGTTAACAAGGCTCTGTTGAATGTGTAAAAGATTTTCCACACACATTATGCCAAGTTATTAAAAATATATATGTAATTCTAGATAACAAAATAGGAATACAAACCTGTTGTACGCCCACTGGCATAAAGTGACAAAACAGCTTGTATAGCAACATACATGGCAGGCACATTGAAGGTCTCAAACATGATTTGGGTCATCTTCTCCCTGTTAGCCTTGGGATTCAGTGGTGCTTCCGTGAGAAGTACTGGATGCTCATCAGGGGAAACACGGAGTTCATTGTAGAATGTGTGGTGCCAGATCTTCTCCATGTCATCCCAATTACTGACAATGCCATGTTCGATTGGGTATTTCAAGGTGAGAATACCTCTTTTTGATTGAGCTTCATCACCAACATAAGCGTCCTTTTGACCCATCCCCACCATAACACCAGTGTGCCGAGGTCGGCCAACAATACTGGGGAACACAGCCCGCGGAGCATCATCACCGGCAAATCCAGCCTGAATATGTCAGGAGAAAAAGTAAGCATTAGCATAGGTGGCTAAAGCAAAAGTCATCCCATGTAAATAGAATCAGTTTATCTTTTATCCCAATAGCATCAAAGGGATAAAAACATGTTGAAGCATAATGTGAAAGCCGAACTATCAAGTTCCATCATCAGCTTTAATTGTTACTGGAAATACTGAACGCTTTTAAGAAATCATTAGATGTCAATTTGCCATTTCAACAGGACCCTTGGTTCAGAAAAGAACAAGTAGATAACTTTAAATGCAAGAAAATAATTACTAACCTTGACCATTCCAGTTCCATTGTCACATACGAGGGGCTGAATATCCTCCTCGGCCATTTTCTATAACCTTGCATAGGGAGATGATATATGGTTAGAAAAAACAAATATTACAAACTAGGATGCAAAAGTCCAAGTACGATAACTAATTGAGAAATTTAACCCATTTAATTTGACAAATTAATGGTCTTAAAGTAACGAAAAATGAAGCCTCAAAATCTAGAAAACACATAAAAGAAGTACTTTCTTGAACAAATTAAAATTCTTATGATGGTTAAATCAATGTGAAAGCTACCCTAAACCAATCTGTAATGAAACAACTGTAGACATGAATCACAAAAGATGCTATTCAATAGTGTATGAAATAATAGGAAGTAACTTTACAAAATCGATAGTAGTAAATTCATAACTAACAGAATTAGGATTTTCAACAAGTAAAAACAAGTCATACATCCTGACTCTATCATCAAAGCCATGGCCTGCAACCTATCTCTTTCACTTGAAACCAAAATGGGCATTGGTTCATATATCAAAAGTTCCCTTAACACAATAGTCTCAATAGGTAGTAATGAAAATTCAATCTTCAAGAATAGCACTTTTCAATATGGATATTACTACTCTCACCTGCTGTCTTGTGTGGAAAGATCATTACCGGAACTGATACGGTAATGCACTTTTCAACAAGTAAAAAGTGTTGTGATCAACAAATAAAGCTACGTTTAAGAGTTTTTTTGTGGTTCTCCAGGCTAAAGTTCATTTTGTAAATTTAAAGGAACAACAGAGATTTACTTCTCTTCTTCTTCTTTTTCTTCGCTGTTATTCTTCTTTTCAAAATTTCATTCTCCTATCAGTTTCTCATTTTCTCTCTTCTCTTTCTCTCTCCCTATTTTTTCTTCTCTCTTACTCTCTCTCTATCTTTTGAGCTACAATTTGTCAATTTCAATTATTTGGATGAATTTGTGGACACATACATGTTCTAGATGTTAATAACAGAATTCTATACTTCTGTGGGTTTTAAACTAATTCTCTATCTATTTTAAGAATTTTTTTTTTTCTAATCTTTTTTCCTTCATTTTGAACCCCCACCCAACACACAAACGATCCAACATGGGAATCTGATTTAACAATCTTGACTCCAAAGCCCATGCAAAGAGCACAAAACAATAGATCTTTTACCTAGTGAACACTGTCCCTTTAAAACATTTATCATCATTGTCCCCTGAAATTACTAATAGATTTCATTATTGCCTCCCTCCCCCACCTTATTTTCTGGGTCCGTCCCTGATGTGAGATGATATAAATATCAACCACGTGCATAAGCATTGGTTTTAATAGCAATGCTCTTCCTTTGAGAAAAGGACAAAAAACAAAGTCACAATTACTGACTACAAGCTAACGATCAAAGAGACTATTTGATCTTACAATACAATCACAAAAAAGGTTGGAAAAGGTTCAAATTTGCTCAATTTTGGGTTTTGTTGGGCCTGCCTGATGAAATCACCTTCTTAAATGGATATAATATAACAACCTCTAGTGAATATAAGAATCGCTGGTGCGGAAACCAACCGAGGGTTGAAAACCTAATTACTATCTTCTAAATCAAATATTCCTCATATAAATAAATATTTGAAAGCTCATGAGCTAGATCTCATATCCGAAGCGCCACGGTGAGCATAAAACACTGTATTTTTACCTACTGAACACTACCAAGACTTCTTCTGACCCATACTTTGTAACTTAAACAATTAATCATCTACATACGTGCAAAAATGCACGAAAATTTGATATTTTTGCACAAATCAAATCAAGACACGTATAATTCAGCATATACTGCACAACTATACACAGATATATTACCTAGAAGACTTTGAATCCCACAAAACCTCCAACTTATAATATTCCAATTTTTCATTTTTGTCAATGATAACTTAAAATCTTATTATATATCACAGTTCTCACTTCTAAACCATTATCAAATATCAAAGCTTACTAGTTTTTATTCTGATTGCTACAACTTCTTAGGAACAAAGCATAAAACAACACATAGATTTGGGCAAAAATAAATAAATAAATGAGCAAACAAATTAATGAATAAAATTTGAGATATTCCAGATATAGATCGCTAAAACACCTTCTTGTTACTTATAATTAAAAATATATATACCGATTTATACAAGATACCAATAAAGGAAAAAAATGATTTTTCCCGAGAATCAAACATATAAAGAAAAATAGCAAGATTGCATAAAACATAATAGATTCAAAGAGACTGTTATATACCTTTTTTTAAGGAGAGTTGATGAAACAATGAATCTGATCGCAAAGCTCACTTTACTCGCAACAGTGAAGAGACCAAAGGTTTGAGAGCAAGTGCTGGAAATGAATGCGAAAAATAGAATATTGTGTCAGATATGTACATAAAGGTTATATATATAATTTACAAAGTATGGGTGTGCTAAAATAAAGCTAAATGAAGATGAAATGCAAATGAAATGAAGTGCAAATTATTCACTTTTGTTCAATGTTCTGTTGTTTGGATGCTGAGAAAAAGGCAAACACAGATGAGAAAGGGAATCTTGGAATTTTTATTGTTTTTGGGCAAGTGACCAAATGGAAAGTTCTAGTAGCCCTATTTTTTCCGAGGAAATCGTTGATTGTCTGGTGGAATCCAACGAATGGTTGTTTTTCCACGTCAGCTGGGCGGCGATAAAGGGCGGCCGGGCGGTTGGTCTCGCCGACCACGTCCACAAAAGGTTGCTACTTGTTAAACTATAATTTCAAGGGGTCCACCGTTTAATTAAAAAATAATATATATCGGGCCTTTTGTAAAATCTCATAATTGACACATGTAGGCCATGCCATTTGTTTTTGTTGTTTTTATTTTTGTCCGGTACTACTGTATCAGTGAAAAAAATATATTTGGTAAAAAAAATTTTATTTTGTATAATGTCAAAATATTTTGTGAATAGTGTGGCCAAAGGTCATAATACCAATTTGTTGTCTTTATGTGTTTCTGTATAGGAATTGAAAATTTTCGGAATGACATTTTTAAAATAGTCATTATATTTTTTTAACTTGGCACACTTTTTAACAAAATAAATTTTTATATTTTTGTTTCTAAAAATTTTATAATAAATAGGCATTACGAAATATACTTCCAAATATTATTCAAAACATCCTATAACAAAACACGTTTTTTGTTTCGAATTAAAATAAAACCCATAACAAAGAGGCGCAGTAGTCCTTTAGAATGTGAGGTGACCGTTTAGATTACTCCTCTAAAATTGGTCCATTGCCTTTTAAATTCTCAATTTAATTGCATTTTTTCGTGATATAACTATCTTTATTTTTAAAAAGTAAAAAATATAAAAAAACATTACAAGACTATCAAGGCTGTTGCGGCAAAATTTTTGGTTTTCATCATATAACTATCTTTTTAGTTTTCATGTGTTGTATAAAATCGATCATTGTCATCCGTTTCCCAAACAATCAGAGATTATCAAGGCTGTTGCGGCAAAATTTTTGGCTTCATGTGACCAATATACCCTTTAACTTGTACCGAAACACTTTGTCCAATGTTTGTTATGTGAAAAAAATAATAATAACAATAATAACCTACATTATTTCTCTCTACATCTCTCATCTCCCATTATGTTTCTATCTTTTTTTAAAATTTTAGAAACATATTTGTGTTTTTCTAACTTTATTTATTTTAACAATTAATCAATTAATCACATGTAAAATAAAATAAAGTAAAGTAATAGAGTTATGACACCAAAATTTTTAGCGAGAAAACTCCAATTTATAAAATAAATTAACTGTTTGCGTGAGAAAAACGTCGTGGACTGTAAAGTCCAAAGTAAACAATAAACCTCGTGGAAGAGTATGCTACTATAATCCCTTGAGGTTCACTAGGGTCATTTTGGCGACATTTTTATTTTTTATTTTCGATTTCGGAAAAAAAATAATTTTTAGTGTCGTTATTTATTCCGAAACAAAATATGTTTGGTAACTAAAATTTGTTGAACAGTATTTCAAAAAAAAAATTAAAAAAAATTGTAAAAAAAATTAGTATTTATATTATATTTGACTTTTAAAAAATTTATATACAAGAACAAGTGTAAATATTTTTTTCTTGTGTCAAGAACAAAATGCAACAAATATTACCAAAAATACTTTTATCAATTGTTTCTATTTTTCAACTATTTGATAACAGAAATAATTACCAAACTAATTCTAAGGGCAGTTTGGATCGCGATAACGCTATATGTTATGGTTTGGTATGATATGAAAACAACTATTTTGGTATTAGTATATTTTTAGTAGAAATCGGAACCATATTTGGTAACGACTGTTTTGTTTTTGATAATTGTATATCAAAAATATGAAAACACGTTTGGTAATATCATGCGTTTTAAGGAATGCGAAAACAAAACACGTTTGAGAAGTTAGTTTTGTTATCAAAAATTTTGAATCAGTAACAGGATACCTATTTGGTAAAGACTGTTTTGTTTTTGTTTTGAATAATTATATATATGAATACAATTATAAGTTTATATGTAATAATCCATTTTTCTTTATGATTTGAGATAATTTGTTAAAATAAAAAATAAAAAAAAATATTCTGCATTAAAGAGTTGGGAAAAAAAATTATGAATAAATTTACATGTATAAATAAAATCATGTGGGATGTTTATAAGGCATAAACATAATTAGTGGCAACCAAACTATAAACCTAATTTTGTAATACCAAAAATACTTTTATCAATTGTTTCTACTTTTCAACTATTTGATAACAGAAATAATTACCAAACTAATTCTAAGGGTCATTTGGATCACGATAACACTATATGTTATGTTTTGGTATGATATGAAAACAACCGTTTTGGTATTGGTATGTTTTTAGTGTAAATCAGAACCATGTTTGGTAACGACTGTTTTGTTTTTGATAATTGTATATCAAAAACATGAAAACGCGTTTGGTAATGTCATGCGTTTTAAGGAATCCGAAAACAAAATACGTTTGGGAAGTTAGTTTTGTTGTCAAAAATTTTGAATCAATAACAGGATACCTGTTTGATAAAGACTGTTTTGTTTTTGTTTTGAATAATTATATATATGAATACAATTATAAGTTTATATGTAATAGTTCATTTTTCTTTATGATTTGAGATAATTTGTTAAAATAAAAAAATTAAAAAATATATATATTCTGCATTAAAGAGTTTAGAAAAAAAATTATGAATAAATTTACATGTATAAATAAGATTATGTGGGAAGTTTATGAGGCATAAACATGATTAGTGGCAACCAAATTACAAATCTAACTTTGTAATAATCTTTCAATGAGAGGATATCTTTGCACTCTATTTATCTTTTTCTTTTGACTAGCACTCTATTTAACTTTGTTTTGTTTCATATATATATATATATATATATATATATTATAAATTCATTATGAATGAGAGAGAGAAATCCTTGTAGTTGAAACTAACAAGAAGCAAAGCCAAAACATTGATCTTCTTGAATTAGTCAGAGTTGAGGTTTGGTGGACATTGAAGCTTATGAATGGTTTTACTTCACTGAGATTAGTTTGAAATTTTCTGCTGGAGATCCTTCAAAGTGCTAATATTTTTATTGTTAACTCATGAGACCATTTCCCATTTTCTTGAGTATTTATTTTGATAACCAACTTCTGAATATTTTATACAATCTCCAACAATAACCAGAATTGATAAATAGGAAGAAAAATTAATAGCAAGCAATCAAGGAAGATCCATCTCTTACAAGACTAAACAATAAATCACCCCGGCGAAAATAAAAAAATAAAAAGAGAGGCATGCCATCAAACAACCTTGTAGAAAAATTATTGCCATCTAAACAAGTACTTAAAAATATTTTGTAGCATTTTAATCAATCATAAATAACGTACCAAACCACAAGTTTTCTTTGTACATCACAAACTAAATAAATTGTTGTTGTACCATTCACATATATACTTGCACATATATGGAGCTAGACATTCCTTAAAAATAGTATGTGTGTACACACACACTTCATTATACTTACATAAAATGTACACACAACTGGAGATCACTAGAATTCATTTCATAAAATGTACACACACTTCTTTATACTTGCATAGGTCTCCATTTGATTAACTTAGAGATTACTAGTTTCCTGGAGTTGCAGCAACTGGAGAATACTTCCTATAAATCCCACTGGTGCCACTGCCCACAACTTATTACCATGTCTTTCAAAATATAAAGCAGAGTTAGATTTTCCCATGGAAAGGCTACATTCTACTAAGCCTTGAAACAACAAAGAGAACTATATTCAACTTCACCATGAAAATCAATAAAAAATTATCACTAATCATAGGTTCAAAAAATTGTTATATTTCACAGTTATATATTTCACAGTTTTTCTACTGTTATATATTTCAAAAATCCATTTCAAGTTTCAAAAATCAACCCCATACCTTTTTGGAATCAAAGTTCAAATTCTTTTTTTTTTTTTTTTTCGAAAATCTGGCATGATTTCCCCTTAAAAATGGACATTTTCAAATTTTCAAAACACAATAAACATAAGGGACACCGCCCACAAAATTAATCCACAAATCCAAGTAAAATTACCCGTTCTCCTTCTAAACTACTCCAACAACCATAAGATATATCTAACTTTTTTCAGGCTAAGTTGCAAATTTGGAGTGTAAATGACCTCATGCAAAGCCAAACGCATGAATAACATTAGAGAAAAAATAAAATAACACATGGTAGGAATGAAGTAATTAGAAATAGTAAGCAACGTTTTTTCAGGCTAAGTTGCAAATTTGGAGTGTAAATGACCTCATGCAAAACCAAACACATGAACAACATTAGAGAAAAACAAAATAACACATGGTAGGAATGAAGTAATTAGAAGTAGTAAACAAGATATATCTAACCTTTTTTCAGGCTAAGTTGCAAATTTAAAGTGTAAATGATCTCATGCAAAACCAAACATATGAACAACATTAGAGAAAAACAAAATAACACATGATAGGAATGAAGTAATTAGAAGTACTAAGCAAGATATGTCTAACCTTTTTTCAAGCTAAGTTGCAAATTTGGAGTGTAAATGACCTCATACAAAACCAAACACATTTATACCATTTAATACGCAGTTGAAAATATAGCATTTATAGTTCTCACCAGCAAGGTCATCCAAATACAAAAAATTAAGTATATATTACATACCAAATGAAACACAGGAAATTAACTAAATACCTATTACATGTCATATATTACAAAAGATGGAAGTTTATCTAACTTCATCTTTCAATAACAACGATAATGAGTAAGAAGAAGACAATCACAATAAACATGATTGTGATAGTAAGACATCCACAACCTAGGAAGAGCATGTACTTCTGTTTACATTGTAAATTTTGAATTATTGCAATGACTCTGTCCAAGTCAGATTGAACCTGTTCTTCAACTTGTGCACCTTGGTGCAACTCTTCCACCCACATAAATGCATTCATATATGACTACAAAAAATATAAATTATACAATTAGGAAACAGTAACAGAAATAACACCTAAAAGATTAAAGCCATACCTACTGAGCTGGACACCTATAGAATTGTCGACCATCATTTTTTGGAGTTCGAGCCCTATACAGATGCATAGGACCTCTACCACATGCACATTGTGGTCGCTCACTTTCAAGCCTATACATAAGTCCGCCTATAAGTACTAAAGTATTTAATATTTGATGTCTTAATATAATTAGTTACTACAGTTATCCATATTGTATGCATGTGAGTTTAATTTACGTAATATAATTAGTTATTACAGTTATCCATATATATTAAAATCCTACACACTATTACACACTATTATAATTAGTGATTACAGTGCTCCCAAATTAGGTTAGCAATACTATCACGATAAATATCCATCTGTCGCATCTGTGTATTAATAGCACTGACGACCTCAACAATGTCATCCACATCAGGTTCATTTTGTGAAGTAAAAGATTCAGGGGTTTCACAATCAAAAATTTCATCAGATTCACCTTGGGATCTTATGAAATTATGCAATGTACAGCAAGCAATGACAATAAGAACTTGAGTGTCAAAGTGATAAAGGGGCATTTGCTTCAATATAGCGAATCTCATCTTTACCAACTCAAAACATCGCTCTATGATATTCCTCAATGACGAGTGCCTAAAATTGTACACCTCTTCTCTATCACATGGTCCTCTAGTGATAAGCGCTGAATACTGTATATTCAGGCGCCCTAAATTACATTAACAAAGTCCATTAATTGATTATTTCATGTAGATTAACTCCATTTGCATGTTTTTGTGCATTTTCAGGTTAAAGTGCAAAAAGGAAGCAAAAATGATGCCTTGTAGAATTATGAACAAAAAGGGTGCCAATTCTGAATTTCTTGCAGCGGTAGAACCTGACTTTTGTCGCCATTTTTGACCTAGCAAACTCAAGAACTGGACTTCCATCATAACATGAAAGATTTAGAGCTATGAATCAGCTTTCCAAATCTTCAAGCGGTTCGTCATTCGGAGTTTGGAACAGAGAGTTATGATCTTCTTAACAGAGGTGCGTAGAACTGCCTAGCAGCACTAAAGTACTGCCTTTCTCCCCATTTTTGACCAACCAGACTTGAGAATTGGGTCTTCATCAAAACATGAAATTTTTAAAGCACTGAAGCAGCTCTCCAAATCTTTAAACAGATTATCATTCGGAGTTCGGGGCGCAAAGTTATAGCAGTTTTACCAAAGTAGGTCAGTGCTAAGCAAGAAGAGCATGTTGCACATTACACTAATTTAGAGTGCTCGAGACCACTCTTTGAGTGCTCGAAAATTAGCCAGATTGCAGCTCGGAAATGAACCCCTCTTCAGCCCACTTGTGCATTGGTTTTCACATTTCCATCCTCCTTCTTTATGGAGTGGTTGGGAATGTCTTTGGAAGAGAGAGAGAGCTTGGTTGAAAGATATAAGGCAACTAAGGGCCACATGCATGCTATCCTTCATTTTTACAAGATAAAAGGAGAGAGAGGGGAGAAAAGAAAGGAGTTCTTCAAGCTAACAAAGGGGAGCTCAAAAATTGGAGATGGAGTTCAAGCTTCTTCTTCATTCTAAGGTTCCAATGGGTAACTAACTCTTCTTCTAGGGAGGTGATGAAGCCTCCCTTGTAAGCATACTCTAGTTTTGTTCTTAATTTGGGGAATGAAGTATGTATGTGGTATTTTTCATAATCTAGAGCTCTACACATGTTGTAATGGATCTTAATTTCTATTAATGATTATGTTGAGTTTTATCATCTTGTTTTAGGTTATATTCTCTCATGATTTTATAGCTTGCATCTTCATAGTGGGAATGGAGATGAGATTGTGAAATGATTTTCTTGGCATGTCTTGTGAAGGTTTTGATAGTCCATTCCTAGGAACGATGAATCATACTACACCCCTAGTTTAATGTAATTAAGTAGATGGTTCATACCAACCGTGGATTGATTATACTTAGTCTTTGATTACATGTGCATTTACCATACAAAGTAAGGGCTTTGATAGGCCATTCCTAGGGATTATACTTAGATGGTTTATACTTAGCTCTTGATTGTATGAACTTCTTGAAGATAGTGTAGTTATCATGCATCTCTACATATCATGGTCATTTACATAAGTAGCTCCCCAAGTTAATTGCAAGCTAGCATGTTTATGAGGTGTGTGGTGGATTCATTTCCCTAGTCCTCTCCACCTAAGTTTCACTCCTTTTAATCTCCTTCCATTTATTATTTTATGCATCTTTACATTTCTAGCTTAGTGACAAACCAATCAACAACTCTTTATTACACCTTATCACTCTAAAATGACTCTAGACACTTAGGTTGCCATAGATTAGCGCAGTCCCAGTGGTTCGACTTACCCGACCAATAGCCCTATTTTACAATGATTCGTGCTATTGTGAAGGTTGATGTTAATTGACCAACCGATCAATTCTAGTATGTCCACGATATTCCTGCATGTGCTAACGTTGACCCCGAAAATGGGCCAAAAACCCCGGTTAATTGGCGTACCCAGAGTGCACTAAATAAAACTTACCTGTCATGTTAAGTATTAAAATTAACGTATTTTTAATGTTAAATGCATAAATATGGAAAGGTAATTTTCTTACCTTCGGGTGGTGGTGTAAAATTTAAATTCTCATTCTGAATGCACTCATTTAAAATCTTCGAATCATTAGCAAACCATTCCCACCCTGCTAGAATGTATGTGAATTTCATATCAAAAGAACACATGGCCATGACATTTTGGGTCGTATCACCCTTTTTACCAAGAAAGGGAATTTGTTATCCAACTGGCACTGACATGGATATGAGTACCATCTATGGCTCCTACACAATTCTTAAAGTATGGGTAAAACTTTGGATTGTTCTTTATCTGTTTAAGAATTTCATTCAAATCCAAGGAAACAATAATCTTAGTCCCTAACTTACAAATTAACTTTAAGACAACATGAAAGTGATATGAAATTGTGGATGTAGAGTGTTGGAATCTTTCAACAACGACACGATTCCTTTCATTGTGAGACACGGTAAGTAGGAAAATTGCAACTTGTTCTTCTACTGTTACAAATGTTGGATCTTTCAATCATAACAATTTCAATTCACGACACAAAGCCCTAAAGGTATTGGGGTACATCCGAAAATTTTCATAACACCTACCTTCATGTCCATTTAAAATCTCGAATACGTAATCTTCCTTTTGTAACATGGAATTCCTACAACGTTGCTTATCAAAATGTTTATGCTAGTACTCATATACGGCTGCGATCAATACAAAAATTTCCTCCTCATCATCATCATCATACATAGTTTATATTGTCCTTATATCCATATCTACTATCCTATTTAAGAATAAACAGAAGCAATTATTGTAATAAAAATTAAACAACTTCATAATATAAGGAAAATGGAAAAATATATAACAAATAATACAGTTATTCATCAACAATACAAAAATGATAAAAGACATACCAAATCATATAATTATCCAGCAATAATATAAAAGCAATAGATATAGAACATAAATAGTCATCTAACATTAATTTAAAAGCAGTACATAGAGGATTTAAATACACTCTTCCAACAGTAATGTAAAAAGAGTTATAAAACAGTCATCCAAAAACACATAAAAGTAAGATAGCGAACATATCACAGAGGCTGATTCATCACCCACCCAACATTCTTCTCATCAGGAATGCGAAGAAATATGTCCCCCCACACCTTGTTCTCACCAAACATCCTTATGATCTTAGCATAATGGGTATCATTAATCCCCACTAATGTGTTGACAATCCTAAGGCACTCCTCATGCTGGGATCCATTTATTTTTCTTTTTCTTTTTTACTGGGAGATGTCACTTTAGGCATTTCTTTAACACGAGATAGTTAACAACTAGAAGATGATCCTGTTATGGCTTTGGCAATTTTATCAGCTTTCGCGTTCCCAATATCAGTCAAACATGCCATCACTTGAGACATTGTGAAGGAAAAACTTTCTTTCTTAGGTTTCTTAGCTACAGGTTTGGGAGTAGGATTGAGGTCAATAAGTCCTTCTACATTAGGTCGTTCTACATCAATCATGTCTGCATTGCCCACAATGTTATGAATTGCAGCTTCATGTGTTGCCACTTGAGATATTGTTAACACTTGGTGAGGTTTAGGTGCTTTTGTAGAAAATGAACATGCTGACCAGTAGCATGTGTGTGATACCCGTCGAATCCGAGACGCGGGTTGATAAGGTCCGAGCCCAAACTCGAGGTATATCAAACAATTAAAGTATTTTAAATCGAACACGGAATACAAAGTGAATAAGATATAAAAGTTAAAAACTGAAAGAATACTAAATTAAAAAGAAAACCTCAACTTAAACTAATTAAAAACCAACTTATTCAAACTCCTCCAATCCATACAACTCGGGAATCCATCTCTAGTGGACCCCTACTGAAACTCCAAATTGAAATGAAAGTAAAAACTGAAGATAAAATCCAAATCGAACATCTGGAAGGAAATCCTACGTTATCGGTAGAGTGAAAGTCTATATCTGCTCTGCTCGTCCAAGCTTTAACCCTGGAACTGATGAACACCTGAAAAATAAAGGAGTGGGTCAGGCCCACATGAAGTCCTATTCTACTACGATCCAAACAGTAATCCGATAAGCAGATACATCCTAGGAAGACTCAACAATATCTAGAGTAGTCCATAAATGTATATATAGTACACACTATAGGATGCTCGCTAGTCCAGTAGGTCTGTCTCAACCTGAATAGAAGGACCTACCAGGGAACAACACCTATATCCAGTTATCCATCCTAGGCGATATACGCGCCCTAACCATGGTCATGAGTCTCAAACTCGTACCACGGCACCATATAATATATATATAAAGTCCGTATTCCTCCTAATACAAAATACCATCCATCTGTGTAGTGGTCTGATATATGTATAACAAATCCATCCTGAAACCATAGTAGGTAATTCAATTCACAATTGATATGACACATGTAGGTGGTGGACTTAACCTTTATGATTAATCTATACCTTAATCCAAGTTAGGTAGAACTTAGTGTTTGAACTGATTCATACTTAGTATGTCACCGTCCCATACTGATACATACAATCCTCCAGTGAACACAGTTGACAAAACAATATTAAATAGTCATCAACCACACTCCAGAATATGCACAAGATAAATTTAATGCATGTACATAAATGTTAGGCATTCATTATAGAGCCCAAAATCCAAATCCAATAATGTAAACTGCTACAATAAATTTAAGCGATCAAATTCACCAACACAGTCCAGGAATTGATACCGCTAATAGGATTTTAAGTATAAATTACATCCAAGCTAAGCATAGGAAATTTTACTTAATTCCCTATACTTATAATACTATGGAAATATGATTTATATTTATAGTTAAACCATATACAACAATCTTGCTAAGCTTCAGAATATAAACCTAGCAGATCCTCCGACATTGTCCATGAATTGATAAAATTTCATAACAGTTTAAGTACCAATAAACACAATCTAAGTATAATTGAGTTTAATTAAGTCACCATACTTAGAACACTATAAGAAAAATATATGATTATACAATTAGATTATATATAAAACTCCTGCCAAATTCCAGTAAATAAAATTAGCATAACAGTGAGCAAGTTACAAATTTCCTCTTGGGTTTTGCTTGCTCTATCCCTCAATCCAATTGTGAATTTATATTTTTCCATTATAATTCTAGCCTTATACAGTCCCACACATCATTTAAACAATTTAAATTAATTGCAGAAACCCAAAAAAACCAAACAGTTTTAAAAAACCCACGTTACAGTGCATTTCAAGATAGAACAGGCTCTTAAAATGGGAGCCTGCTCTATTTTTCAACCTAGAGCCAGCTCTAGGATCTTAGAGCCGGCTCCATGACACCTAGAGCCGGCTCTCCCCTTTGGGAGACGCCCTAAGAGGTTTGGAGCCTTCTCTCCTTCCTCTTAGCAGCCCTCGTCCGTTTTAGCTTCAACTGCTTCAATTCCGGTGATTTACAGAACCCTCTGTGATGTTTTTAATCCTTGTTCTAAGCTCCAACTCAGTCCTAGGTTCATTTTAAATCTCTTAGATCCAATCCCAACATGTATAGGATCTAATTTTTAAAGCCACGAACACAGAACCTCTGTTAGAAATTTTTAAGCAAGTTTTTACAGATTTAATTCCAATTAATTTTGTACAATTAAATACTGTTCTATGGACTTGTTTTAGAGTTCAAACTCAGTCCTAGATTAATTACGAGGCATCCAATTATAATACTAAGCTCAATTAGAACAATACTTAATTGTAAACCTAGAAGGAACAGATTACAGAATTTCAATACTTATGAAAAACAGTTAATACAATGAGATCAAATAAATTCATATATGCATGGAAGACATGTAATTATGTTTGTTTCAATCCGTTTTAGCCTTTAATAAAACCCTGGAGTCTAACTAGGCATGCACATAACACGAATTAAAGGGAAAGAGAAGAACAAAGACTTGCCTTGAGTTTCAGGCTTTAAAACTCTAAACCTCCGTCTCGGATTTGTCCGTCAACGTCGTCGACTACTGTTCTACTCCTCCGAAGCTTTTGGTTCAACCCAGAAACACCCCGTCCAACCTTCCTTGAACCTCCATGTATATTACTCAAGCTCACTCTCTCTTTCTTTGTCTTTGTCTCTCACAACTCTCTGTAACGTGAATAGATTTTTATGTATTTTCTAAAACCCTAAACCCGCATAAGATTATATTTATAGGCTTAATACTCCAACCCTAATCCTTGTTTAATTAGAGCCCTAGTGCAACTCTTAGTCGGCCCAAAAAAACCTAAATTATAACCTATGTCGACTAAGACGTGAATTTTAATTTAGTTATAACCGTAACTTAATTTACTAATTATAATCGTAACTTAATTTACTAATTAAATCACATAATTCAATTAAAAACAAATAATACAATTAAATCAAGTAATTCAAGTAATCAATTAAACAAATAAAAATGCAATTAAATACACTAATTAAATTCTTCAATTAAAACAAATAATACAATTAAATCAAATAATTCAAGAAATCAATTAAACAAATAAAAATGCAATTAAATATAATAATTAAATTCCAGAATTATCCTTTTAAAATTAAGGGTATTACAATGTGTATCCCCAAAAATCCTTACCATCTGCTCATAATTCTTACACTCCTTTTTTTTTTTTTTTTTTTTTTTTTTTAATGTCATACTTGAGAACCTACACGTTATTAGCTTACAATTACTGTTCATCAAACCCTTTTAATACTAAATCACTAATTACTAACTGTATGTATAATAAATAGACACGTATTGAAATACTAACCTTGCATAATCGAACCCATCTTTCAGCTTCCAACTCAATCATCCCAGTTTCACTATTGTACCCTACACTAGTCTCAGATAATATTTGTTTGCAATCTTTGTACAGTGCTCTTATTGTGTTGAATTTTTGCCTACATTGGTCCTTAGTGTACTTTTTTCCAATCTCCACCAACATTGCGTCCACAATATGTATCCACCCAATTGGATTAAAAGTCGTGTTTGTACTATTTCCTTTTCCAACCTCTTCCTCCATCAAGAGCATGAATTTCTCTTGATGGGCATCACACCAAATAGCGGCATTGACCTGTTCAATAACTACAACGTCCTCACCATTCTCACCATCAAGAGAATGAATGTCTCTTGATGGGTATTACTCAACATTGTCATTGTTTATGTCCATCTGATTATTATTAAGTAAATTGAACAGTTTAGTAAATTGTTTAGATAATACTAATTGTAAACTGATAATTCAATGGTACTACATTATATAAGAATTAAAAATATAAATTAAAAATTAAAAACAATTCATTCATATTATTAATAGCCACATTGGGAGCTCATTTTTAGTATTATTGTTGGACAAGCCAATTTATTTATAAAAAATTAGTGGTAGCTGGAATCGGATTTGAATTTAATTGATTTTTGGTAGTTATAGCTTATTTAAGTGATTTGGTTCTTACTCTCATTTTTTTCATGAGACAGTGTCAAATTTAGTTATTTTAAGGATTTTTTACTGGTGTATGGATGTAATGTAAACTAATTTATAGAGATTATAATGATATTTTAGTTTTATGTATAGTTTGTGATTCTTTTAACATAATTTTTAATTGAGTATTGATAGAAAATCTGATCTTCAAACAAATACTTTTCTAAGAGTAGGAATTAAAGTCATTATAAAATTAAAGATATTAAAAATATTATGATAACATTAGATCTCATTCACGTAAATCAATTAAAATTATCGGACTGTAAATCATTTTGCTTCTCAATTTTATCTCCTCTTCGGTTTGCTTCTAGCCATTAGACTTATAACAAAATTCTGTCTTCACTAAGTGCCATCTCAATGTTTGGTATAATACTAAATAAACACTGATCCAAAATACTATGGGAGCAAAAAAATTACTGTATAATGTAATTTCTATGAAGATGGTAGATATGTAAATTCTTAAGGTTATATCATTTTATTTTATTTACATACCCTATTTGTAAGTTGGAGTGTTCGGTAGGGAAACAATAATAACATAAATTAATAAATAAAAAATTGATTATTAAATTCTTTATTAATTTTCAAAGTGCTTCCCAACTTTCCTAGTTCACAGCTGAGACATTACAATAGAATTTGTTTCTGGAATTCCAAAAGTAAACTGAAATCGACAAAAAAAATATTGAAACTTAGCAAAAAATTGAAATCGACATGAACCAAAAGTAACATCGACTAAACAAATCATATTTTGGTTATGAAATTTTACACCAGTGAACTCCTATGAAGGATTCATCCATTAATAACTGAAAATCTATACTAAATACACCAACTCAAAATGTCTGTGTGTGTGGGTGTGGGTGTGTGTGTATAGATATATATCTATAGCATGAATGCTATCACAGAAAATCACAGAATGATATAGCATGAATGATATCACATATTTGAATTTTGGTTCACGAAAGGGTTTATGGCCAACATATCACAGAAAATCTAAACTAATAAATACATCAACTCAGAATCATCGAGCTAGGGTTTCACAGAATAGAGAAATACCTTCGAATGCTGTCCACCGAGCTAGGGTTTCAGAGAATAGAGAGAAATGATAGGAAAGCCGAGCCCGAAATGAAATTGGTCTTTCTTTTTGAAAGATTTGTAGACAAAAACGTTTGATCTGTGGTCTACCAACCCCGATCTGCGAGAATAAAAAGAGATGAGAGGCGCAAATGAAATCGCCTCAACCGACCTGTGAGAAGACAGATAAATGAGAAGCAAAAATGGAAGGAGGTAGCTGGTGGAGGAGCTCTTCCAGATCGGTGGTGGAAGAGGATGTGTATGGAGTCGAAAGACAATTGGATCGCCACTGAAATCGCCTCCAAGGAGTTGCGCGAAGAGAGAGAAACGACGCTGAAAAATGCCCTAAAATCTGATATGCGACCTTGTGTACGTGATATCACCGCTACAGTAAAAATGAGGGTTGGTTTGGTTTTGTTTTGGGCTGATATCACCGTTACAGTGCCATATCAATCAAATTCACCAAATTGTTGATATGAGTTTTGGCCCAAATTTGATAATGTTTTGGCACCATTTAATACCACATCAGCCCACTCCAAATATGATATTGGTCCAAATAACAAAACCAAAATATCAAAACAATATCAGATATGGACTTCCAAACAGGCCCTAAATAGTTCAAAGAAAATGATATCAGGACTCCACAATTTTAGAACTGCATTTGACTTGCTTTTATTACCTAGTACCTCTTTTTCAAATTAAATGTTTTATTTTGAGTTCAAAAAACACTTAAATTTGGGAGGAAGGGAGTATTATTTTGTGAAAAATGCACAAACAAAGTAAGTACCTCAATTGAAGGCAGGAACCATCTGGGGCCAACATAGTCGAACCGAGGCGCACCCCACTGGTCCTCTAATACCGTATTCGAGAGTCGAGACGGCCACTAGGTGCATCCTACGCACCCGGCGCAAGCTAAAAACGATACCAATATCTCCCACCTGGAATTTAAGTCGCCATTCATTATTTCCTCACTGTTTGTAGATTCTGATTGCGGCTTAAACCCCAAAAGGTACTCTCGTAATCTCATTGATCTTTCCCATTTTCTTTATATTCTCAAAAAATTATAATCATCTGTTTCACTTTTATTGGACAGATCTATCTTTCAATTCATCAATTTGCTCATCTTCAAATGATGATTGTCTAACATATATGTACTTGCGTGTATATGTAATTTTGCATATTTCAAGATCTATAGTCTTGAAATAGGTTAGTTTTCTATTGATTGTCTATAATCTGGGACTTTGATTATATTTGTAGTCTATTCTTATTGTTATCATCATCATTATCAATTTATCATTTTTGTTCCATTTGAATAGAGGTAGGGTTTGGGTTGTGAGTTCATGATTGATTATATGTGTGCAGGTGACCTTGGAAAGCTTGGCTGCACTATTTGCGTGAATTGCAATGTGGGTATTATGTTCTTGTCTATTAGTTTAATCATGAAGTACATATTTACATTTTCGGTCTCATTAGCATGAAAGATTATTGTTTGTCTCCCTTTTTCGTTTAAAGTTCTCTCCTGCATTATAAGGAGGAACTTTCTCCTCACAGCCGACGAGGCATGATATCATTGGACTATCTTAGTAGGCTTTGTGTAGTTTTGACCCACCAAAAACTGTAGGTTATTTTTCTTCCATTTTCTATTTATTTTTAATATTATAAAAGAAGACAGTTATCCAATGATATCATGTCACGTCAGCTGTAAGAAGGAAGTTCATCCTTATAGGATAGGAGGGAAGTATTATACTCTTTGATAAGCTCCTATGTTGTGCAAAGGTCTTTAACTTATTAAACATAGAAAATTCCCTATTCGTTATAGCTAAGGATTGTCATGAAAACACATAGGATGAAGTCGATAGGAAGACTTCCTTTGTAAAGCTTCCACCATGACTCTTGGTCGGTACTACTTTTTCATTCCCATAGTTTCACTCTAATCATTGATTAATTTGAAAATGGTTAATGGACCAGGACTCTTCACCTGAGATATCATTGATAATCATTTGAGAGGTGAATATACCAGATTCTTAAATATTTTACTAAATAATGTTATGTTGCTTTGCAGTTTGAGTGATTGCTTTTTTTTTTGCTGTTCCTTTAGATGAGTGTTGCCTTAGATGGAGCAAAATAAAGAGATAGGATTCGTGTAGCCGACCCCATGTAGTTGGGAAAAGGCTTTGTTGGGTTGAATTGAGCTGTTCCTTCAGAATTTCCAAGTTTTGTCAGGACGATATATGAAATCGAGGTTCCATCACAAGAGAAGTAATTGTAAATTCAACAAGAGCCAATGTAGTTATCAAAAAAAGAAGAGAGAGACTATGTAGGAATATAGAATTTCTAATTATGTATGAATTCAATATTGAAGGATATTGCTACTAAATGCAATATGCTCCAATCCTCTTAATTGATAGGTGGAGACTGGGGCTACATGGCCATTTTTTAATACAGAGAACACCAAATGGGTCTCAACGACTCATTATGGATCTTATGCTTGGCCATTCAAGTTTATGACATAGATCACTAGCTATTATTAAGTGGAATATCCTGTTAGTCCTAAAGGGAGGTGGGTAGTTTACATCCTAGTTGGAATATGGACATGTGCACAATTTATTTAAAATGTTTATGTTTGTACACTGTTATTAAAATTTTGAAAGCCATCCCGTTTTGTTCAGTTCTTTAACAAAATCTTGGATTGTTTCATGTCAAGGGGCTGTAATTCAAGCACATATAACTTATGAAGTAGGCAAGAGTTATAACTTAAGAGATCAATTATAATGCTAATGGAGGGACATTTTGTTTAGGTCATTAGGGCTTAATATTGGTAAATTTCGTTTGAAAAAAAAATCAGAATTTGTATTTACTTTTTGTTTAATTTTTGAATATTAGTTAAATTTGTTTAGAGTTACAATGTCCCTTATCCTTCATGGACTTCAAAAACAAAGATTCTGTTAAGGGTAAAAAGGTTCACTTCTTGAATTTCTAACTCACCAATTAGGATTGCTTATTGTTTTTTTTATTGTCCTACATCATGATTGCATTAGACGTGTTTTAGAATGCATTTGAACTGGTTTACGTTGAAAAACTAGGATTTTAAGTCTACAGGGAAGTTGGATTGACCGGCCCTTACTGCCTAAGTTCGATTTATCAAAATTGAACCAAGGGTGGGGTAATTGAATTGTGTGGGACTTGGTTTCCTAATCTGCTTTTGACTCTAAAACCCTAATTATTTTAATATAAAACATATACATACATGTTTTGGGTTCTCAAGTTAGAGCATCTCCAACCATTGTGTATATTTTTTTATGTAAATCTGATGTGTAGTAATATATTTACACAAAAAATTTGAATTATTTATTTTTAGCCCCAGCGGTTGTTTTATACCTTTTGTGTAAAAAATATATCCTCCAATAACAACCAACCAATGGCATACCTGGACCTCACATAATTTTTACAAACCTACTTAATATAGGGTTGATTCGTTAATAGAATGATAAAGAGGGAGGAGAAAGGAAATATGCTGATGTAGCTGTGTAAAAATGTAGTGTAAAATACACAACAATTTTACACATTTGTGTATCTTAACAGACTGTTGGAGATAAAAAAAATTTACACATCATACGTGGCAGTGTATATTTTACACAAAAGAGTGTTTTAACAGACTACTGGAGATGTTCTTAATATATAGAAAATACATACATATACATGGAGTATCTAGAGAGTTATATAGCCAATTGGAGAGTAGATATTTTCCTTCTCGTCATCTAGCATATTGTATCGGCCCTACTCAAGAGCTCGTAAGCATCAACCTCGACTTTACCTATTGGAACACAAACAATGACCGAGGGTGCTGAATGCAAACAGAAGGTGATTGTTTGTTTCCCTGTTTGTGCACACATGTAATTTCAAATTGTAAAAAACGTGCATGGACTTGCCAACTTATCTAGAGTTGATATCTTCTCCATATAGCTGTTCAGGTATAAGAAGCCAAGTTAGAGGAAACTCTGGTGTGCCAAATACCCCTCCAAGGGAACCTTGCTACTCTCTCTCCCCTTCCTTCACAGAGCATGTTATAGTAAGATCTTATCTTGAACCTTTCACTCTCTTTGAGTTTTTCCATCTAATGGCATGCTTTCTACCACTATGGAGCGAAAAACCATGAAGTAGAGAAAAAAGATGATTCCACTGTGTAATGTCATTCAACATCTCAAAAGCACTCCACCGTCTATAATATTTACTCTATATCTATGTAAATCTGGGATCTTTTTCATCTACGATTCATTGCCACATGAAGAATGACCAAAACTCACTCTTTGCTCATTTCTCACAAGAAAAGTAAAATATTCTGAAAGCCAAAATCATGGTACCATGTTGAAGTGCTATAATGGAAAAGGAGAGATGATGTTTTGGATTCAAATCTTTACCATTGACCAAAAAGTTGCGTGTTTGAAATTCCTCCCATCCGTTTTTAATACAACTCGATGGCCTACGCCAGTATGTTTTCCTCACCTCTGTTGAAGTTTAATTCACCTGAGATACTTATCAAAAAACAAAAACAAAAAAAAGTTTAATTTACCTGAGATAGCCATATCTTTCTTCTGCTTTCTTTCTCTAAAAGCTGCCTTTATCCATTGTCAGTCAGCATAACTACTTTTTCATCAATACTTGGTTGAATCGTCGCTTCTTGATGCCTTTTCTCTCACCCTCTTGGAGTGCACACTACCTCCCAATTCACCAAGTTATATGTAGTTATCAAAGGCGTAAGGCGAACCCAAGGTTTGAGCTTAACAGAAGTAAGGGCATATGCTGGATAGAGCATTCAGTCAAATAATATGGCAAATTTGCAGTTGTAAAAGTTACGCAATCATCTAATTATTAAATAAATAAAAAATATGCGCGCGGGCATTTGTTGGGATGAGTTTAAGAAAAAGAAAAAGTGGTATTTGCATGCCCCAAAGGACTCTCACTCCACTAAACTTTTTTAAATAATTTTTTTTTTTGGACAAGTACTTAACTTTTTTAAATAATGGAACACAGATTTTTTTTTGGGATAATTGTTGACCGAGAGAATACTTTAAGAGATAATTGTGTTATTCCATCATTTATTATTATTTTTATTTATTTTAATCTTTTTTTTTTAAGCAAGTGGAGTATGACAAGGCGATATTTTTGTGGAGTACAAACATAATTTAGCAATGAAAAATGAGTTTGGCAGTGGAGATGGAACACATGACAATTCAGTAGACTACAATGTTAACCAAAGATTTTTTTGCCGTTCTTGTCAGGAAATGGAGAACCCCGTTGTTTTGAGAGGTGACCCTGTGGTTAGGTTTGGTTATATAGTTGGGTAGCACATAGCATCTCAGGGGTGTGCCATGTAAGGTTGCTTTTCTGGAGATGCATGACTCAATGAGGTCAAATAGCATAGAATTTATTTTCCAGAACGGAAACTCACCTATCGAAAAACAAGTTTGAACCACCTCCGTTACCTGGATCCACTTGCTACCGAGCATAAAAATGTTCCAGGCATTGCTCATCTGCAAATCTGGAACTTTAAACATCATCTAATTTATTTTTTTTCCCTTCCTGTGTAAATTTGGCTCTTTAATGTATGAATATTTAGATGACTTGCTTACAGTTATAATGTTTTTTTTTTTTTTAATTAACTTCTCTTTCAATGCACATCTTTTGTATTTCTCATTTGTTAACCTTTTTTTATTTTCATTTTTTTAACTTAGGGCGGATGAGGAAGCTGTTGATCCAAAGAAGCTACTTGAAGAGGCTTGCAAGCCAAAATGTGTGAAACAGTTATTAGAGTATCAGGTACTTTTTCTAGCACACCAGAAATTGGAGTTTTACATTTCCGAAGTTAATATATATGAATTTCTGCTTCACCATCCTGGATGTTTTTGTTAAAGTGCAAATGTTTCATGATTTAATTCTTATAGCTAAATAAAATATTGTTTCGGCATCTTCTGGATACAGTAGTATGCTTGGAAAATTGTGTTTCACATTGCAGCTGATTTCTGAACATGCATGTGAATGGCGCCATATTCTCGCATTATAGTATACACCAAAACGAAATTGTAGTTTAGGTCATCAATGGATATTCTAGACTGCTTGAATGCTCCAGGCAAGCATTAAGAGAGGCAATCCTTTTTGTAGGTGGCGAGACTGCCTTGTATCCCCCCTTCTGATGAGGTCAAAAGAATGTCGACAGGAAGGGGTTTTATGCTTCGAGTAGATGACTGGAACACTGCACTGAGACAAGTGACTTTGCAAACTTGCCTAGTTGGGAGATATTATAGAGCTGTGGAAGCCTTGAACTGTTTTTTTTTTTTTTTTTTGAGAAATGAATTCATAAAAGGCGCTCAAGAGGGGAGCACTCCCAAAGGATTACAAAAGATGCCTAAGGCGATGCTATAATTTCAAGCTATCCACAAAATCCAAAATATGCCCCAAAGATTTACAATTTGCCCCATTAACCCAAAAGAACAAAGTAGAAAGAGTATTGTATTTTAGAGACAAAATAGGGGACTCCTCTCCATCAAAGAATCTCCTAATCCTCTCACGCCACAAGCCCCCACCAAAGAAAAATGTATTTGATTGGGGAGTGGGCTTTGAGAAATTGGAAGGTATCGAGTGGGGGGAGGTTTACAACCTTGCTAGACTCCCAAATACTGAGCAAAATAAAAAATAAATAAAAACCTTGCTGGACTCTTTCACTCTGTTTAGATTGCCATATGGGAAGGAAAGGGTCGAGGGTTTTGAAAGAGAGAGAGAGGTTGTGGGGGGATGCAATGCTTCTTCTTGACGTCTGGTACTTCAGAGTAGGTTGCTCTGGTTTGTTGAGGAAAAGCAAGGACAGAATAATCTCACTTTATGGTTTGCCTCTGCATCTCTGGTGTTAGAAGCTCTTTGGAGCCATCAGAGATCTTTGTGGGGGATTTCGAAACGTCGAGGTAATGAGACGGTAGACAGTGAGAAAATCGCCGTGACGGTCTCTGATGAAGGAGAAATACTGCTGTTTTTCCTGGTTGAATATGACAAGGTGGCGTAATAGTCGCACTAATGGAAGATCACTCTTGATCTTGTTCTGAAGAATGATTCTTTAATCAGGAGAGATGAAAAGAGGCTCATAATGGAGTGGTGGGGCAACACGATAAGGCCACTAGAAAGTGAAAACATCAAGGTAAGGTCGAGAACCAGGCCAAAGTTGCAGAAGAAGGGGAATAAGGGAGGTCAGGGATGTCTAGGAGGTCATGCGAGGGAGGCGTGTGGGAGAGGAGGGTAGGCAAGAACTACACGTGTTAATGCCGGGTGCAATATCATTCTGGGTGGAAGACAGCTAGTGGGCTATGTGGCGGAAGCAGTGTGAGGGTAGGTGATGGACGGTCATGTGAGGTACAGACCTGGTTTTTGAACTTTAATGAGAAGATTTTTGGTCAAAGAAGAAATGTCCAACTCATTCTAATAAGTTTGGGACTGGGCTAAAGACTGGTGTTATGCAAAAAGGCCCAAACCAATCGCTTAACTCACGTGGGAATGGGTTGGACTTGGAGGGTAGAACCGTAGAAGGGGAGTGATGGCCCAGAAAAGAACAGTGACTTTAGGCCCGCAGAATGAGTCAAGAGTTACAATGCCTGGGCTAAAGTTTAATGGCCCAAGTGTCGAGTCCATGCAGCATGTGTACTCAAATCCAAGAAGAAAAGGGGCAGGCCAGGCCAGGCCCAAGCTACGGGTAACCATAAAAGATCGAAGAGAGGGGTTGGGAACTTGGGTTAAACTGTGGGGGCTGGCTGGGCAAAGAAGGCCTAAGCATAGTGAGCTGAAAGGGTTGTGTTAAGCCCAATCGAGTTGATTTGATTAGGGCCGACGGTGGACTAGGGCTGAAAAACAAAGTGGGCAATTAAAACTAGGCCAGTGGCCTCTACTTGGGTAGTTGCAGGGATAATATGAGGATGGTGGGCAGCCGGGACACTGAACAATCTATGGAAGTGCATTACTCAGGATGTGGAGATCCAGCCAAACAAGGAGATCGGGGGTTTGGAGCTATGCATCGGAAGAGGTATTCAGCGGCAACCTTCTTGGCCGAAATGAAACTGTACGGTGGAGCTGAATTTTTAGTAAGGGGTGGGGATGACATTGAGTCCACTGTTGCAATAGATTTTGACAATGGTTTTGCCTCTTCTAGTGACGAGGCTGAGGAGTAGTTGTCGAACGACCCTGTGGAACTTAATCAAGCTATGGTGGTTTGGAGAGGGGACACAATTATTATCATGGACAAAACAAGAAACATAAAGTAAGTTTGCTGTTAAATGTGGCACATGTAAAGTATCTTTTAACTTAAAATTAGGAGGAGTAGAAATATACAAATCACCAATGGAACGTATAGGTTAGGTATTACCATTTGCGACGACAACTTGATTGTAACTAGTATATGCTTGTCAGTTCACCTTGTGTGAGTTATCAGGTGTCATGTGATTGGTAGCACCAGAATTTGAAAACCATGTGGAATCTGATTGAGAGGAGAAACTCGTGGCAGAGAATGTTGCAGGAAGATCATCAGATCATTGTGCATAGTTGTAGCGTTGACGGCATGTGAGTGCACCATGACCTACCTTGCTGCAAGTCTAGGAAATAAAAGGTGAATTGGTGTTGGAGTTTTGAGAGTAGGTTGCAGGTCTGTTACCACGACCACGATAAGCGCCTCTATGAGTGCCATGATTGTGAGAGGAGTTATGCTGATTGTTATGAGAGTAATGCTAATTGTTACGCCCTCTTTCTCGATTGGAAGAATTTCCATGATTACGGTTGCTAGACACGAAGAGAGCAGTAGTTTTACGATCTGGATTTGATTTATGATAGATTTTCAATCGTTTCTCACGATTAAGAAGCATGTTGTAAAGTTCTTCAAATAATAGAGAAATAGACGTAGTCTGAACAGAATTGACTATAACATCACAATTAAGATCGAGTGTCAAGGACACAACCAATCAAATCCCTATCGGTCATTGGCTGTTAAATAAAAGAAAGCTCATCTGAGAGCATTTTGATACGATCCATATATTCAGCGATTGAAGAAGATCCTTTGTAAATATTGGAAGGTTCATGCTTGATCTGATAAAACCTAGCATTTGTCTGAGACATGTAGGCACGATCTAAGGCTGCCCATGTATCATAGGAAGTCCTGTAACCCATATCCTGTGCAAGTACTTGAGGAGTTAACGTAACATGTAACCAGCTAAGAAGAATATGATCTTTCTTCTTCCATTCAAGGTATTTTCGATTTGGAGCCACTACAGAATTTTCAGAGATAGTGGTTGGTGGAGTTGTGATTGTGCCATCAACCATACTTAACATCTCAATCCCTTAAAGAATAGGGAGGAGTTGGCTCTTCTTCGACAAATAATTTGATCTATCAAGCTTGATAGATACTTGTGCCAAGTTTGGGATTCCTAGAATAGGTGATGGAAGAGAGGGAAGTGATAGAGGTGAAGCATGGGTTGAAGTGGAGGAGGTTGAATCGGTGGCTGTGAGATCAAATTGTGGTAGAAAGCAGAGAGGAATTGTGAGATAAAAAAAAAAAAACCCAGGTATTTTAGGCTCTGATACCAAGTGAAAAACTAAGAATAGGTGAAAGAAGAAGATAATTAGTTGGGAAATTTTTACCACACTGAAATGATGGTGTCCTATTATGTATTTATAGTTACAACAATAAGAGATAGATGGAAAGATTCTCTCAACAAACTTATCTATACAACAATAAGAGAGAGATGGAGAGATTCTCTCAACAAACCTATCCGAGATTCTCTCAACAAACCTATCTGGATTTCCCTTTGATCTGATTTTTTGGTTGATCCAATATATCATTAGCTAATCTCTTAACAATATTAATATATTATGGGTTAATTGGTTACCAGTTGTAACCCACTAACCCATACCTCCCTTAGATAGTTTTTAATTTTTATTTTTAGAGAGGAGCATAAAAAGTTGGCCCTCCTAGACTCTAGGGGCATAGGTATCAATGTATCATTATATAATAGATATAGTTGCATAGGTAATAACAATGTACTGAATATTTTATATATTATTACATTACTTTACTTTTACTTTTAGCCCTGTGCACTTTCTTTCTCTCCTCTTCTAACTCTTCTTCTGTTCTTTGTAAATCAGTGGCTCGTCTTCTAACTCTTTCTTCTCTTCTCTGTAAATCAATTGTAATGGCCCAGAAAAAGAGAGCATCCAAGAAAGAGTGGAAACCTACCACAAATATCTTTATAAGGTCTTGAAGCAGGTCCATCCTGACCTGTGCATTTCAAAGCAAGCCATGAGCATTACGAATAGCTTCTTGAATTACATTTTTGCAATGCTTGCTCGGGCGACCTCTACTCTTGTAGAAGTAACAAAAAGGCCACCATGACTACAAGAGATCCAATTTGTTGTGAGATTGGTGCTTTCCGTTGAGCTGGCCAAGCATGCCATGTCTGAAGGGATGGAGGCGGTCAGTGAGTTTTATAAGCCTAAATATGGCCTTTGGACTCTTTTTTCATTTTTTGGTGGCTGGGTTTAGGTTCTTTTTGAGATGATGGAGGCACTGGTTCCTGTAATTTACTTAAACTTCACATCATCTTATGGATCAAATCATGTAAAGGTTCTTAGCCTACCAACACGTAGAGGTGGAAACAGAACTTGGTGCTGCAATTACTGCAACAAAAAGTTGCAGGATCATATTCAAAAGTCAAAGGTCATTTTTTGAAGATTCCTAATCAAGGGGTTGAAGCTTGCAAGTCTATAAGTAATGATGTATTTCAAGCATTAAAGAAGGAACATGATCAATCTGAAAGTAAAAAGGCTCAAGAAGAATTGAATGTGAGAAAGATGGAAGATTATTTGTCCTTGCCTGAAGAATCAGACTTGTTGCAATGCAAAAAAAGAAGGGCATCAACCCCAGAAGCTTTGGAAAATGCGTTTAATGTAGCACAAATAGATATAGCAGATAAGCAGGCTACTCGCATGTTCTATGCGTTTGCCTTATCCTTCAACTTCACAAGGTGCCCTCACTCCAGAAAATATTCACTCACATTAGCCAACAATGAGTTATTTGGCTATACTCCTCCAACGTTCGATAGATTACGAACAACATTGCTAGCCCAAGAGTAGGCATATGTGAATTGGAAGCTCCAGCCGATAAAAGATACTTGGAAAAAGAAAGGCATGTCCCTTTGTTCTGATGGGTGGTCGGATAGACAAAGAAGACTCAAGTGTTCTTTGTGTTTCAGATCAGAGAATATATGGTGGCAAGATAAAATTGGTGCAGGCTGGAGCAAGATAAAAATAGTGCAGGTTAGAGCAAGATAAAAATGGTGGCATGTAAGAAAGAAGAGAGAGAAAGAGAGAGAGAGAGAGAGAGAGAACTGAAAATGGTGGCACGAGATACACGGCACCACACTTGCACCACAGAACTAAAAATGGTGGCATGAGATATTGCTTTAAGCCACAAAATTTGCTTTGAGTACTTTTTTTTTTTCTCACCTAACCTGATGAAGCCATCACCCATTTAATGTGATAGACTCCAAACATCCTTTCATTGCTTGTAATATTAAGTGAGCAATGTTGATTTACTCTTGAACAACTTTCCTTGCTATATGTGAAGTTTAGGCAAGTAAATTACAAGCCAACCAGTGCCTCCACCATCTCAAAAAGAATCTAAACCCAACCACCATCTCCACAAAATTTGCTTCGAGTATTTTTTTTTTTTCGTTTTTTTGCATTGCAACAAGTCTGATCCTTCAGGCAAGGACAAATAATCTTCCTTCTTTCTCACATTCAATTCTTCTTGAGCCTTTTTGCTTTCAAATTAATCATGTTCCTTCTTTAATGCTTGAAATACATCATTACTTATAGACTTGCAAGCTTCAACCCCTTGATTAGGAATCTGCAAAAAATGACCTTTGGCTTTTGAATATGATCCTGTAACTTTTTGTTGCAATAATTGCAGCACCAAGTTCTGTTTCCACCTCCACGTGTTGGTAGGCTAAGAACCTTTACATGATTTCATCCATAAGATGATGTGAAGTTTAAGCAAGTAAATTACAGGAACCATTGCCTCCACCATCTCAAAAAGAACCTAAACCCAACCACCAAAAAATGAAAAAAGAGCCCAAAGGCCATATTTAGGCTTATAAAACTCACTGACCGCCTTCATCCCTTCAGACATAGCATGCTTGGCCAGCTCACTGGAAAGCACCAATCTCACGGTAAATTGGATCTCTTGTAGTCATGGTGGCCTTTTTGTTACTTCTACAAGAGTAGAGGCCTCCCAAGCAGGCCTCGCAAAAATGTCGTTCAAGAAGCTGTTTGTTATGCTCATGGCTTGCTTTGAAATGCGCAGGTCAAGATGGACATGTGTCAAGACCATATAAAGATATTTCTGGTAGGTTTTCACTTTTTTCTTGGTTGCTCTTTTTTTCTGAGCCATTACAACTGATTTACAAATAAGAGAAGAAAGAGTTATAAGACGAGCCACTAATTTACTAAGAACAGAATAGGAGAAAAAGAAAGTACACAGGGCTAAAAGTAAAGTAGTGTAGTAATATATAAAATATTCAGTACATTGTTTTGAACTATGCAAGTATATTGTTATATAACGTTACCTATGCCCCTAGAGTCTAGGAGGGCCAGCTTTTTATGCTTCTCTCTAAACATAAAAATAAAAAACTACGGGAGGTATGGGCTACAGCTGGTAACCCACCAACCCATAATATATTACTACCTATCTATATATATATATATAAGACTATATGAATACTAATTTAATAATATAGTAATTCTTTGTTTGTGTCCCTTCCTTACCTTTTCCCAATGACTGCTGGAAATTAAAGAGTTAATAGGGTTTACGTGCACGCATGGAAAAGGGGTAAAAAAGTATAATGTTAAAAACGTGTGAATCACTCCAAAGTGGGAGACTTCTATGCAAAAAATGCGTGAATCTAGTCGTCTTCTTTCACGGACCACAGATGCTCCTTCGTAGTCAACGGCGAAACCAGTAACCACCATTACTAACCAACTGAAACACTTCTTCTTTAACGGCTGTGTCCGATCTGTACAGTGCAAGGTCCGACGCATATTCCGTGTCCGTGTCATGTCGTGTCGACACAGACACCCTTGCCAGTTCTGTCGAGTCCAAGTAACAGTGCAATTGTCAAAGAATTTATTTGAGTCTTGAAGCTTCTTGGTGAGATTAAGGTATATTGCTTTATAATCACATGTGGATTTCCGCCTTCATGGAGCTTTCAGACTCTAAAAGTTAGTTGAATTCTTATGCTTCTATTGTTATCTTTAAAGTAAAAGTAGGTATCTCTTGACAAAGGTATAAGGTGTTTTGGTCATTTTCAGAAATTGTGGTTATCTCACGGGGAAGCGAGGCATGACAGGGAGTTGACGCGTATTGGAGATATGAAATTAAATTTATTGGAGGTTAAGGTTTAGACCTAGAATTATTTTGAAACATAAAGGCTTAGGAAATGAATTTACTGGAATTTAACTCCATTGAGTGAAGAGAAGTAACTATGTTTTACCAGTTGAATTGTGAACTATAAGGAGATGTTGATTTCTAAGTTGAGCGTTAAAGTGTAGTTTACAATCGGTCATCTCATTTTTTATAAAAGCTTAATATATAGTGATGTTTTGCTGATTCTTGTCATAAACGGAGCATAATATGGAACAAAGATTTTAGGAATTAAAAAGTTTTGAGTTCTTTGAGGAAATTGAAGTTCTTGCTAGTGAGATCTTTGCTAGGGGCATCAATAATTTAAATAGATTCCTATTTAGAATTTTTGGGTGATATGTTTCTCGTTTGTTGTTTGTTTTTAGCTTTGGTGTACTTCCCGTGTACATTAGCAGCTCCACCTGTTTCCTGCACCTCCTTTAATGATACTTATCAAAAAGATTTTAGTGATTATTAGAAAATAGACATACATTTGGGGGAGAGGACATAGTATAAGGTAAACTACAAATAGACACAAGCGAACAATTATTAATTAAAGCCAACTCTGACAGTTTTGCAATTGTAACAGAGCCTAGAAGTACAATCTTTTTATTTGGGTAGTTGGCACTGCTTTTGCAGATGGAGGATACATTAAGCTTTTATATTACATTAAATGCAATATCCTCAGTTTCATTTCCTGAGCTTTTATGTTTCTAAATAATTCTAGGTCTTAACCTAAACCTCCAATAAATATAATATCATATCTCCAATACACATAAACCCCAAAGAAACTATTAATTGTTCTCCGAATAGATTCTTAGTTTCTTGTCTGTTCAAATCAGAGGAGGATGGTACTTCATGGGTGTTTTTTGGGGTCTTTGGCTGGTGGAGGATTCAGAGAGGACCATTCCGTGGGAGAAGCTTTGTCTTGCTCGTAGGAGGTGGGGTGTGCCATGGTGTTGGGGGTGGAGTATTCAATGTAGTTAGATCTCCGGCTGAGAGATCCACGGGTGGGAGGTAGTCTCTGGCTGTGAAACTTTTCTTGGAGTTCATTGACTGGGAGGGATTGATTGATTTGCCGATGGAGGGTGCTCTTTATACATGGTCCAGTGGCAGAGAGGTCCCACCTTATCCTGATTGGATTGGTTCTTGATCTCGGGGGACTGGGAGGAAAATTTTCTGGATGCCACTCATAGGAAGGCAAATTGTCCCACCCCGTTTTGGACGGCTTTGGGGCCTTTTAAACTGAGACGAGTAGGGATAGGGGAAAGAAACGAAAAACTGCACAGGGTGGGGCGGGGATGGGGAAACCTTTTATAGGCAAAATGTCCCTATGCCTGCGCCAGTATGAAATGAGTATGAATCTAATACAAATAACAGAGTAACAAAAGAATCAAGATAGGCTAAACAAGAACCCAGAAAAAGGCTAGACAGTATGAATCATTTATGAGTAATCCTCTTCTTGAAACATGTGTTAGATGGATGGATAACAAAAGAGGTATTATGAGTTACATCCCTCCTTTGCTTCTAGTACTTGTACATTTATCTAGGAAGTGCTTAATTTAGAATAATTTCTAGAAGAATTATGTCACTAGAGTTGCATGATACCTGTGTATACTATTTATCAAGCAGATTTTGTTATTGTACAAGCTTTGGTTATTAATTAATTTAGCTTGAAACTTTGAGGTTTACTTGTTTGATGTTGATTGAACCGTGACCGAGCTGCCCATGAATAGTTTGGTTTGTAAAGTCTTTGCTTCTCTCTCTTCCTTCCCCCTCCTCTCGGTCCATGTCCATATTTTTACACATGGATTTAGAGTCTACTATTGTTACTAATGTGATAGCCTTACTGCCTACAGGCATGTGTAAAAAGGATCCAAGGCGATGCAACTGGAAACAAGCACTGCACTGGACAATATTTTGACTACTGGTCTTGTGTTGACAAATGTGTAAGCCTCCTTTCTCACTCTTTTCCCCTCTCTCTCTCTCTCTCTCTAAATAAAAAATTAAATTAATTTTCTTAAGTTTGTTTCGTTGTTGCACTGGATTTGATACCAAAACACCTTGTTGGAATGCAGGTTGCACCAAAGTTGTTTTCAAAACTGAAGTAACGGGGGAATTAAAATCAGCTTCCTCTCAGGCATTGACTATTTTCTTTTCTACAAATGGCCGAGTGCTTTTGAGTTTTTTACTTTGGAAATTGTTAGTCAAAAAAAAAAAAAAATTATGTACCTATTGATGGTAACATAATTTAGTTGAGAGTTGATCATAATTTAGTTAAGAGTTGTTAATAAGAGATTCAAAGTATGAAACAGGAAAATGACTAAGATTTCATCATTGTATTTTGAATGCATAAATCAAGTTCAATTCTAAATTGAAAATCCAACTATACATTGAACATAATTAATTTATATATAAATATAGAATGAGGTGGTTTAGGGCTTGTGCAGTTGTGTGATGTCCCATTTATTTGGGAGTGATTATGTGGGGCATATTTTCTTTTACCTGCAAAATAAAAGTAACTTGCTTTTTCTACTTCTACCAATACAGTAAAAAAAATTACTGTTGCAATTTATATAGAGAGAATTTGTTACCTAATGTGGTTGCTAATGGTTATCAATTTTGTGTTGTAGATATTTTACCCATTTCTTTATTTTAAATAGTTGATTCTCTTCACAGATGTTAACCAGGTAGAGCAGGCTTGATATTGAAATGATGTGGGGACAAATAAATTAGATGGTTATATACCTAAAAATCATTGTTCATGGATCATGGTCAATGGAAATCAGTAAAAGTGATCGATGTTGTCATTTGAATAAAATGATTGCAATTGTTTTAAAATTTGGTAACTGAATTCATAATTTTGCCTGCAATCAAGTGGATGAGGACTTGATGAGAAGATACTTCTTTCTGACAAATGAACTTGATTAATGCATTAGTTCTCTCTCTCTTTCCCTCTCTCTATATATATATGTATATATATATATTTTTTTATTTACATTGTAATCTGAAACATTATTTTCATTTAGTGAAACAATTGGGCTTTCTATCTGAAATATTACAACGGTTATTCTCTTGGATCATCTTATTCGAGTGAAAAAATGAAGATACTAAGTGAACACATATCAAATGCATTGTGAACCAGACTGCCAATAAGTTCATATCATATAAAACTGGCATAAATCATAACATACATAATTAATGGACCTTTTTTTTTCTCTTACTAGAAAGAAACTTGCACCCGGGATGACAATTTGCCCCGCCTGTCTGCCCCGTTTAAACCAGTTTAAGGGTCCATTTATGAGATTTGGGCGGGAACGAGATTGAGGGAGGAAAACTGCATGAGTTCGGGGCAGGGGCAGGGGCAGGGGCAGGGGCAGTTTGGGGTCACCCTGCCCCGCCCATTTAGGCAACTACACACAACCATGTCCTAATTCCTAAATGCCTATCACTATCCAGTCTTCACTTCAGCCCCCAATAGCCAAGGCCCCTCACCTCACAGCATCACATTCCCAAGACCGCCAATGTACTAGCGAGTCTTTCTATCAGTGATTCCTTTTGCACGCTCAGTCCTCTCTCATTCTGTCAAACTCACTAATTTACTAAATGCATCAGTAAAAAGTTTTGAGATTTTGATCTACCTATGTTTCTTTTCAACCTCATTGATCTAGGGCTAAAGTTTTATTTTTTAGACATTTTGGGAAGTTTATCTTTGTGATCTCTCTCTTTTCTTTGTAATTTTCACGAATTTTGTTTGTTACCCAGTTGCTTGTTTATCTTCAAAGACTTTTCATTTGTGATATGTTGTTGATCGAGAAATCGTCTCTATCTTCTCACTAAAAACGTCAAAAGAGAGCAGATCCACTGTGAGGTGTTTGGCGCGGCGAGCTACTCTTTAGCAAAGCCCAGCAAAATTGAACCGGGGTACCAAGGATGATCAAGAAAAGATGTCAAGGTAGCTTGCTTCTCATTCCGTCTCTCATGCAGCAGCACAAACCGCCTTAGGATTCAGCAGAAGTCACAAGCTTCATAAGAACCTCCGAATTCATAGAATCAACTGGAAAACTGTCTTCAAGAATATAACAAATGCCAAATAACAACCGAGGTATTCAGATTTTGATACCGAGCTGGGATGGGCAGGTGAAAAAAGTCGGGCAGGGACGGGGAAATTTTAACAGGGGTGGAGGAGGGCACACCCGCCCTAAACCAACCCCCTTCTCCAACCCTAACTCAAGCCTCTCTCTCTTTGGAAGGCGAATTAGGCATCGGCTGAACCATGTGATGACCCCGTTCCATTGGTCCAAACATGACAAAAATTGTTTTGGTACCGAGGGAACATACCAAACAAATTTGAGGACAACCAATGGATATTATTCTAGATGCCCTGATCTCTAGTCCCCAAAATGAAGTTGAATGCTCAGACCCAGCTGCCAGGTGCAATATATTATGGGAAACTGAGTTCTCGTACGTCATACCACCACAACTACCAACTACCGAGGGAGATGAGTTCTCGGATGTCATGCCACCACATGCCACCACAACTACCTAGAGTTCTCCCTCCTCCCCGAAGGGCTGTTGATCACCAAAAGCATTCAGAGGAATTGCTCGATGCGGATGATATTCAACCCCCTAAATAATTCACAAACATAAATTCCGATCTTCCTACTAACATTGCGCAAAATAGAGATACGGAAAAGAAACGGGCAAAGGCCAACCTAGAGGCCAGAAGTTCAGAGTACCATAAAAGATCAATTGACATGAAATTAATAAAAGGCCATGCAGTATAGCTTCAATGACCAACAAAGGAATCAAGGTCTTATTAACTTGTGGCGTTATGATGGAAGTAAGTACTACATAATCATATAAGCTACCCACCCACAGGTCACCGGAGTTAAAGCCTAGAGAGACATTAATAGAAATGCCTAGGGAAAAAGGAGAACCTAAAATCACTGAGAAACAACTATACCAAGTAAATTCACATATACTACTAACAACATTTATAGAAAAAAAAAAATATACTACTGGTGTCATTCCCACGTCGGACAGTATGGTGTGGCTGTGCACCAGTTTGGTTTATCCCAAACATGACACTGAATCTTTCAACCAGTAGTATTCTATAAAACAGTATCACATATCTCAATGCAAACACATAATATGAAAAACAATCCAAAGTAGCGAATATCGATTTTGGCGGCAAAGTGAATCAGAAAAAGCAACCCATTCATGCAGCAGAGAGAAAAAATGCAGCATCTAAAAGGGCACGGGTAAGTGCATTGCAAGAAACATATTTTGGTTAAACAAAAGTGAAAACAAATTTAAAAATGTAGTCAAATTTCAATGGTTTTAGTTAGTTACATACATATGGTGCCTGAAAGAAGGAATTGGTGAAAGATGTAAATACAAGACAGCAGTAGTAATCAAAAGCACAAAAGACATGTTAAAAAGGCGCTTTCTTCACCCAAAAACACAAAAGAACACAGAACAGAAGATTAACCAAAAAAAAAAAAAAAAAAACCATCATCAAAACACAGGGACCATCCAAGAATCTTTTTCCTTTCCAAGATTCAGGAGTCAAGAGGGGCAGGCTCCAATGCAACATTTTAATGCAGAACCATCCTCAAGGAAAAAGAGATCAGGTAAGGAACCACAAGCTGACATGGGAAAGACAAACTGACTTGATGGAAACAAAACCACTGATCTGGATCTCAGCAATGAAAACCAAGACATCACAAGTGGTGAACAACAAGAACAATCTCCCATAGATGGTTCTTGTTGCCGAACTCTTCATGAGCTTCCACACAACGAGCTGCATGTTAAAAAAGAATGGAACTCTCCCATCAATGTGCCTCACAGAAGATAAGAGTGGCTTCTGGATATTAACTTCCACATGGCATGTTGCTACCGGTGTACTTTCTCAATTTTAATATGTTTAAAAGTATCCACAATTAGCGACAATGAAACCCAATCATGTATCCAAAAAGACCATAAATAGCCAAGAAGCCTGCCAAAAGGTTAACAATATTAATATTGCAATAAGCAAGAATAAAGAATACCATATACGTTAAAGTGTTATGTAACTTAGAAAATAAAGAATTAAATTATAAAATTACCCAATCAATCCCCTTTGAATTTAGAAGAACTGAAAAAAGAATTATGCCAACTATAACACCACCTCAATATCCCAATCGAAAAAGTAGCACTTATCCCCAAGGTCGACACCAAAAATATTTTGTATTTTCACCACAAACACCAAGTGTGCTCACTATTGGTTCATCAGAGACCCGTCTAACACCAATATGGACTTCCAGATGTGCAATTGCATAATATATAAAAAAAGATCAATTTGAAACCAGCAGCAATAATGGCATTCAAAAATGTAAGGCCAGATTCGAATTGTGCATACCAAGCAAGCATAATAAGGACCCCATCGGACCAAAATAACAAACATTTAGGGACACAAAAATAGCAGATTATTGGTGCCAAGTTTCACACTTCCAAAAGATTCATCCATTACATTCTCCCAAACATCAAGAAGTCAAGACATCCAGTGGAAAGAAACTTCCATCGCTTGCATCCAGTCCCAGCAGCACATCAAGTTCTTCAACTGCAATAGCGCATGAACAGAGATACATCAATAAAACTGTTGAGAAATTTGTAAAGCTCAGGGTTTGTTACATACCAGAACTTTAAGCAGTCAATTTATCCAGATCTGGAACCCCGGCGATCATATGGTCCAGAACGGTCACGACTATATCGATCACCTCCCCCATGTTCCCTATTGCGTCCACCAGATCTATCTCCATTCCTACTAGGACCATAACGACCAGAATCATTGCCACTGCTGCCGCTGCCATACCTATCATCCCTGCCACCGTACTTGCCTCCTCTAGACCCTTCATCATCACATTCCCTAGCAAAATGTCCAGGCTTACCACACTTAAAGCACTCTCCACCACCAGATCCCCGACCACCTCCATAGTCACGTCTGCCATCACGATCCCGACCATGGTCACGGTCACGGTACCGGTCACGGCTGCGGTCACTATCATGACCCCTACCAGAACCTTGAAAAGGCTGAGCTTTTTCAACAGTAATTCTTCGCCCATCTAGATCCATCCCATTCATTTCTTCAATGGCCTCTTCCATTGCTTTCTTCTGATCAAAAGTGACAAACCCAAATCCACGAGAACGCCCAGAGATCTTGTCAACAGCAACCTATATCAAAGAGAACATTTTATCTACAAGAATTTCTACAATGACATTCAAAACATGAATTATTTTAAATCACCGGTGACATAGCTTAAAAGGCAAATAACTTGTCCCAAACTGATAAACTATATGACTGATTTTCTCACGTTAAATGCTCATATATGAATATACATGAGTTGAATTAACCCCCACCATGCATCCCCACAACCCCCAAAAGGAAGAAAATAATGCTTGATTTCCTTATTAAATTCGCAAAGTGCAATGAGCTAGTCATCTGAACCTGGTGAACACTCATTTTTTCAGTTTATGCAGGCATCCCAGGCCATAAAGGGGGAAAAAAATTCAGGTCGAGGTGCCATCATCAAAGACAATGCAAGCCATTTTCAGACAAAGAACCACTGAGAGATGAAATAAAAGAACATTTAGCCACCCCGAGAAAATAATAGTAATAACAGCACCTGAAAAAGGTTGTTCACTTGTTCCAGTGGACATTATGCCAAGTATGAGAAGAATGTAAATTGATGTGAACAGGCCTTGGTAAATTTCTAAAGGACTGGAAAGCATGAAGACAAAAGCTTCCGGCAAGGTCATGAAAAATCATTAACTTCCAAATGGTAAAAAATATGAGATGGTGGTGGTTCTGAGGGAATGTGGGAGAAGAGAAGAAAAGCTGTAAGGTGAGGAATTGAAAAGTATATTGTGAGCGTTAAAGTACAAATTTAATGAACAGAGTTTCATACAACCAAACAAAAGCATGGAAACACAGCTCAAACGATTGACTACCTTTGCCTCAAGAAGATGACCAAACTTTTCAAATAAATCTTCTAGACTTCTATCAGATGTGGACCATGAGAGGCCACCAATAAAGCAGCGGTACTCAGCACCTTCTGACATCCTTTGAACTGCCCTTTTTCCTAAAAGTAAATATTAAAAATAAAAACAAAAAATTAGTAGATATTCCACCTTTGTGATACCTTTATTGGTCTTTGACTATCCCGTATTAAAAGAGCAGCTATAGGAGGAGGGATAACGTCCTCAGCTAAGGTTCGCATACAATGCCACAAATAAATAGAATGGAATGAAAAGATATTCATTCATATCACCATTAGCAGGTAATCAAAAAACCAACTACTACTAGAAAGTGCAATCCGCAATATAGTGAAAACCAAAAATAAATAAATAAAAATAAAAAAGCATGCAGTCTCATGACCATAATAAACCATTTTTGTAATGCTCAACACACAAGTCAGAAGACTTGTTATTGAATGATCCACACAAATAAAGAAATACTTTTAGGAAATAAGGAATGTCAGCATGAAAAAATTGTACAATGAGGAAAAGAACTATGAGAGTTGCATATGACAATAATATAATAACAGACACTCTAGAAATCAAACAAATGATCAATGCAGTAAATTAGTAATTAATGACTGGTGGATGCTTATCCACACACACACACACACACACCGCGAGAGAGAGAGAGAGAGAGAGAGAGAGGAGGAAAAAAAAAAAGACTAATGATGTATTTTGATGACTTGACAGAGCATTTCAAACTATTGCATTTGTTCTAACATTTAAACAAATTTATTTGTTTCTTTTAACACTTACACATAATTCAGTGAAAAAAAATAAAAATAAAAATAAAAACCAACACCATTCTTAATAATGTACTTGATTTAAAAACAAAAAGAACATTAGTATATATTCCACCTTCATACCGTGCACAATAAATGGAAGGGATCAGAAAGAAGTCTGTTCATATCACAAGTAACCATACAACCAACTACTACCAGCAAAGGGAATCCATAATATAATGGAACTGAACCAAAAAAAAAAAAAAGCAATCTCATAACCATCATAAAACCACTTTTTGTAGCGCTCAACACAGAGTCAGAAGACTTGTTATTGAATAATCCACACAAAAAACAAAAAGAAATACTTTTAGCGAAAAAGGAATGTCAATGTAAAAAATTTGTACTATAAGGAAAAAACTACAAGAGTTGCATATAATAATATAATAAGGAGACACCATTTAGAAAGCAAACAAATAATGGATATAGTAGCAAATGAATTGGCGGAGTGCTTATCCCAAGAGGAGGGAGTAAAAAAAATAAAAGTACTAATGGACTATTTTGATGGCTTGACATAGCATTTCAAATGAGCCTATTGCGTTTGTTCTAGTATTTAAACAAATTTAGTACTTACTAAAAGCATAGACTCTTAGATTCAGTAAAAAAAACTCTTCCGTTGACACTATCATTTACATTCATCGTCTCATTCCTGCAGCAGCTCCACTCTAAATAATGTACTTAATTTTAAATGCTTTAGACAAGTGCACCGAATCAAACTCCATTATGCCCTCGTCCTATTTTTGCTAAAATATTCCAGTTTAGGATGTGTTCCCATCCATAGTTATTAAAGGCCCAAGGCGCTAGAAATCCTTTGGAGCCTAGGCGCGAGGCGCACGGCGAGGCGCGCGCTTGAGTGAAGTAAGGCGCACAATTGAAAATTTAAGCTACCATAATAACATTCATATCTCATAAGTCATATCAATATTCTAAAAATTAATATCAAATATAAAAAAGTAAATCCATCAACTATACAAGCATCCAACAACCATAAAATAGAGCACAAATTTGTTTTCTTGAAAGGCAAAGCAAAATGTGATTTTTGAATGGCAAAACAAAGCACAAAAAGAAATAAATATATTAACAAAAAAAAATTGTTAACAAGAAAAAAAAAAAAAGAAAAAAAAAACGGAGCAAAAAAAAGAACAGAGAGAGATGAGAGAACTAGACGAAGAGAGAGATGTAAACAAAGATAAGAAGAGAGGGGAGATCTAGAGGAGAGGAGAGAAAAAAGAAAAGAAAAGAAAGAACTGACGTGGTTTCGTTGTTCATCTCTGCAACTAGGGATTCGTCTTCGTCTCATAATCTCATTCTATTGTTGTTTGGTTAACACTTGGACTCTTGGGCCTTCTTATTTTTTTATTCTTTAGAACAAATGTTCAAAGTTCCTTATATCGTATGATTGAGCTTGCTTTTTTGTTTATTAAGTTGCCAAAAGTACCCTTTTTGGCTTAAGAAATAGAACAATCGTATTTTTTTAAACAAATATCAGTGAGGCGCACCTAGGGGCACCTCACAAACAGGACGAGGCGCGCGCCTAGTAAACATCAGTGAGCTTAGGATGGCAATAGGCGCTAAACCTGAGCCTCGACGCCTAGGCGCGCCTTTAACAACACTGTTCCCATCTAAGATGCATAATATCCTATTGATTTAATGGTATAAGATGATAATCATAGAATCATAAAGGGAACGCGTGAAAGTGGTAATTTATCACTCAAACAAGAAATCCCCACAACTGAATCATTATAAAGAGAAATCCCCAAATCTTTACAGTATTTAATCAATATCTTAGACTCTAATCATATGTGAAGCAAGCCTATTTAAACATTCAACTAACTTCATTAATGGAACAAACCCAAACTTTTCCCCTATATTCTTGCAAATAATTTGAAATTCCTATAATTTGCAAACCATTTCAAACACATGAATTGCCAATATATCTTTCTTATAATCTCAAGTTATGAGAGATATTGGTACTCTTGCTGGTTTTTTCCTTACTTTATCAAAAATTTCTCAATCATCTTGCACATTATAAATTATTAATGTGCCAAATAATCACCAGAAAGGTGCAGTATCCGAACACGCACCAAACCCTGAACCTATATTTTCAATGTTGTACCACAAGAATAAACAACCTAATGTAAAATTCTCTTAAAATTTCTGTGGGTCTTGAATAATTAAAAGGTTTCTCAGCATGATTCCTCCAAGTTATCGTCGTAATATTACAATCATCAAACCAACTATAAACATAATCATCACCGTCCCCATCATAATCGTACATAATATTCACATCTGAATCAACAAGCTTGTATTTGTATATACACATGATTAAAAAAGGAAGAAAGAAAAACCCTAAACTTAAATCGTCAAAAAAGAAAACCTTAAACTTATGATTGATGACACAAACATAAAACAGATACACAAAGCATGAATTAGCCACTCAAACCATCAGTAAATATATATGATAAATCTAAAATAAATAAATTTAAATAAAAAAAAAAAGTAACAATCTATGTTCGTAGATTTGACCTTACAGTATCCAATATTTAACTACAATAAATAGCAATTAATTGTAAATAATTTGTAAAAGGACATGAACTGAAGTTTACCGAGAGAGACGACGCGATCAGATCAGATGAGAGAGAACAAGATTTAGGTTAATATTCGACTCTGTAGAGAGAGAAAATCAGATATATATGAAATATATACTAATATACGCAGAGATATATAGTAGTACGATATTTACATTAGGAAGAATTCGGGTGGTGCCAGTTGCACATGTGCGTATGATTGACGTGGTCTATTGGATGTTCGTTGGGGACATTCTGGTGATCTTGGCCGTCAATTGTAGGTTAGTGGGTCCTACTGTTTTTCCAACTTTCGTTGTGGACGTTCTAGTAATCTTGGCCGTCACTTTTAGGTTTAGTGGGTCCTACTAGTTTTTGCAATTGGGGGTAGGGGCGCTCAAATATTTTAAGAAAAATTATGATAATTTTTTTTCCTTCTCTTTTTGGCAAGTGGATAAAAAGCCTTATTTTTTTTTATAAATACATGAATAAAATCTAATTTATAATAAAATTATAAATTAAATTTTGAACTTAAAAATTTTAATTCATTAATGAACAATAACTTGAATTAATTTAATTTATTAAATATTTTTATGATAATAAATTTTATGATTAATTTCATTGACACCCCTTTAAATTTGGCCAAATATCACATTGAAACACCTTTCGAAAATTATTGTCACTTAGGTTCAATTTTACCCATAACTTTTTAATAATTTTATTTCAAAATATCAACAATTTAAAAGGACGCCTTCATTAATTATTCTCGCATACCCACTCCTTTCTCACTTTGCTTTACCAATCATCTAATTCCACCATTTTTATATAGGTCAAGTGCAGAAAGCACCCCTAAAGTATGCTTATAGTGCATATTACACCCCTCACGTGCAAAAAACACTCCTAAAGTTTCAATTTGGTACAAATAGGTCCCTCTAACAAATTTAAATCCTAAGTTGACTAAATTACCCTTACTGAACCATTTTATAAAATATATAAAAATAAATAATTTTGTAAAATTACTGAAAATGACACTATTGGAGACGCCCCTCTCGTGCAAAAAACATCTCTAAAGTTTCAATCTGGTACAAATAGATCTATCTGACAAATTTAAACCTTAAGTTGACTAAATTACCCTTACTGAACTATTTTATAAAATATATAAAAATAAATAATTTTATAAAATGACCAAAGAAACATTATTGGAGGACGCCGACAATGAATAAGTAAAGATAAAAATATAAAATAAAAATAAAAGTATAAAAGAAAAGTAAAGATAAAAATATAAAATAAAAAACAAAAATAAAGTGCAAACTAAGCCCGTTTGGCAACCACAGTTGCTTTGTACTTTTGTTTTGACCCTAAGTAGAAGCAATGTTTCTGCTTTTAGAGTGTGTTCAACACTATTTAGAAACTTGTTTGGTAACGTAAATTTGTTATAAGATTTTTGAAAACAAAAACATAAAAACATGTTTGGTAAATGTAACGACCCACTTCACCACATGGAATGATATTATTCGTTTTCGGCCTGAGCTCACACGGCTTTGCTCTTGGGTTTTACCCCAAAAGGCCTCATACCAATTGGAGTGACACACCTACATATAAGCACTTCACATTTCCCTTTCTCAGGTGATATGGGATTGTGCACCCGTAGCTCGCTAGTGTGGTAGCCTGTTAGTGTCTCGTACTCGCCCACGGCACACCCGCCCACATGGTCATCACAATCCACCCCCCTTGGAGGCCCGATATCCCCGTCGGCACACTTCCGACTGGTCAGGCTCTGATACCATTTGTAACGACCCACTCCACCACATGGTATGATATTGTCCGCTTTGAGCCTAAGCCTGCACGATTTTTACTCTTAGGCTTTACCCCAAAATGCCTCATACCAATTGAAGTGACACACCTACATATAAGCACTTCACCTTTCCTTTCCCTAGGCGATGTCGGATTGTGCACTCGTAACTCGCCAGTGTGGTAGCATGTCACTGTCTCACACTCGCCCACGGCACACCTGCCCACAGGGTCATCACAATAAAAAGTGTTGCAAGTTTAAAATTTTGAATGGTTAGTTAAAAATGTTATTTTAGAAAGTTTTTTTTTTTTTTTTTAAACAATGTTTTGCTACAGTGCAAAAGCAAACAAAAACATCATTTTGATGCTTCCGATTTTGGTCTCAATTTTGGAAGCACTTCGGTACTATTCAAAAGCACAGCAAATATTACCAAACATGATTTGTACTTTTGTTTCGCTACAGTACATTAGCAAAAGCAAAAACCACGAAGCAAAAGTACTAGCCAAATAGGCCCCGAAAATAAAAAAAAATTTCAAACTCCGAAAACCAGTGCACATTGATATTGAAATTTGTATTTATTTTTTAACAGTGTTGGTACGAAAATAAAATAAAATAAAGAAAAAAAAAATTAGTAGAAAAGAGTAAACCAAAATCTCAAAAAATTCAAATTATTCTTCTATAAATTCTCAAAGTTAAAAAAAAAAATGTTTAGAAATATATAAAGAGAAAAAAGTTTCAAATGTATATATACATACACATATACAGATAAGGTAATATATACATAACACCTCTATACTATAAGATTAGTAGCATATATACCCCTTTGAGCATTTTCGGAAAAGTAAATGGCAAAACGAGTATTACATCATTAATTTACGTTACAGGAGGTATTTTTGCACAATATGAAAAGATTAGAAATATTTTTTGCACATTTTTTCAAATAGGGAGTAAAAGTGTTATGCGGAGTATACTTGCGTTTAGTGTACAGGAATGGAATGGAATGCAAGTGGGAATGGAATGAGAATGGAAATGGAATAGAATGACCATTCTCATTTTATTATTTGGTTATAAATATGAAATGTGTAGGAATGGAATGATAATAACCATTCCAGTGTTTAGTTAAACTAATTTAAAATTTAGAATGGAATAAATTTCAATTTAAGTTCTCCAAAATATCTCTCTTAGTAACAAATAAATTAAATTAACAAAATGACATTTTTTATAATTTTTTTAAAAATATGTGGTGGCAGTGGCGGTGGTGGATGGTGGTGATGGAGGTGGAAAACGATAGTGATGTAGGTGGTGGTGTTGGAATGCGGCAGTGGTGTTGGTGGAAAGCGGTGACAATAGTGTGGTGGTGGAAGAAGATAGTGGTGGTGAAAGGAGATAGGGGAGTATGTGACGGTGGTAAAAGCCAATAGAGGTGAATGTGGTGGTGGTAGAAGGCAATGGAGGTGGCGGTGGTGGAAGGCGGTGGCTGTGGTGGTAGAAGGTGATGGCGATGGTGGAAGGCGTTGACGGTGGTGGCGGCGGCGGCGGCGGCGGTGGAAGGCAGTGGCAGTGGTGGAAGGCGGTAATGGTGGTGGTGGTGGGGGTGGTGGAAGGGGTTGACAGTGGTGGAAGACGGTAATGGAGGTGGTGGTGGTGGAAGGCGGTGACGATGATACAAGTGGAAGGCAATGGCAGTGGTGGTGATTAAAGGTGGTAGCGGTGAAAGGTGGTGATGGAAGGTGGTGGCGGTGGTGGTGTAAAAAGGTGGGCAATGGTGAAAGTCGATGGCGACGGTGGTGGTGGAAGGCGGTGGTAGTGGTGAAAGTCGATGCTGGCGGTAGTGAAAGGCGGAGGTGGTTATGGTGGAAGGAAGTGATGGTTTTTAGACTTGGAACATGTTGGTTTTTTGAGAAGTTGATTTTTTTATAAAAAAAAATTACTTGGGAATGAAATGGCAATTCCATAGGTTTAGTTGTGGAATGTATTTTCATTCCCATAAATGGATTTTCATTTTAATGGAATGACCATTCCCACTTTAAATTGCATACTAAACAAATGAATCGTTGGAATAGGCATTCCATTCCATTCCTGCACACCAAACGCAGCATAAGAGTGTTTTTTGCACTTGTTTTTTTTTTATATTCTTCAAGCTTTTACTTCTCTGTAGTGCCCTATCTTTGCCACCGTGGCTCCTTCCCACCCTCTCTCTAATTTTTTATTATGTGTGTGTGCGTATATATACACAACTGTAACAAATCAAAATCAAAACATTTTGATTTTTACAGCAATTCGTATGAACCAATTCATATATCAATTCAATCGGGTGACATAACGACAAAACAAAACTAATTCAATTGCAAACTAATCAGGCCTGAAATCCTTTAATCACAAATACATACAGGTATTGATGCTCTCCCATGAACCAATTCGCGATCAACCTTGAAATCACGTCACAAAACAAGCCCGAAACCAAAACAATTCTTGCCAAATAGTTCCGGCGAGACCCACAACCATCACTGACCAAACAGAGTTTTAGCGACCATGATTTTCGGTGAAGGTACAGAGCTTTAGCAGCCTAACCTGCTCAGAGCTTAAACGACGACAGAACAGTGGTTGATGGTGATGATCTTGGCTTGGTGGAGAGTGGAATTACTTAGTTTTTGGGGACAAGTGTTGTTCCACATGTCTAACCTAGCAAGGGTTAGGGTTTTCAGTTTCGTTAATCTGAATAACTCGCTAAGGGCCCATTTACTAAGGGCCCGTTTGGCATGCGTTTTGCTTTAGGCATTTTATTTTTGGCTAAAACAGAAACAGTGTTTTTACTGTTGGAGTGCTTTGGCAAAAATAGGAAGCACGTTTGAGAACGATATTTTGCTGTGAAAATGTCGGAAACAGAAACATGCAAAACATGTTTGGTAAACCATGTGTTTTAAGAATTTTGAAAACAAAACATGTTTGGTAACTCCAACTGTTGTAAAAAAAAAAAAAGTTTGGTTATCATTGTTTTTAATTTATTTTTATAAATTTTAAATATATTTATAAATTTATTTCTATATAAATAGTCTAATAAATATATTAAAATTTGAACACACAAACATATATATATATATATATATATATATATATATATATATATATATAACCAAAGTGTAATTAAAGAAGCAACTGCTTTAGCGAAAATGTAGAATGTTAGTTCTAATAATTGAACTAATAATTTCAACCATTTTGCATATTATCTTGATCTGAAACTACATTTCAATTTATTTGAAATTTCCAGGTATAGTTTGTTCCTTTGGGGATGATTGTCCATAGGTTTGTGTTTCATTCATTTTGCTCATTTTGCGCATTAGCGAAAGAAAAAAAAAAAATACTACACAGCTCTGATAAGAATT